GATTGCTCTGCCACAGAACAAAAATGGATGCTGAAGCAATTTCCCAACCATTGTAAAACTTCTCATAGTCCATCAATATAAGTGGTTTTATTCACTTAATTAAAAAAAATCTAATACAATGGGAGTTAAACAATTTTTCCTAGACCATCATTTCTTGGGGTAAAAAAAATAAAACACCTATCAGATACTACAAAACATTGAATATAGATACTACTTGTGGATTTTAGCCCATAAATCATGAAGGGAATGTGCTATTACTTTTCATTCTGAAAGTCAGCTTGCTATGTCTATGAAAATATCCAGAAAGCTGATGGAACATGATTTCATTCTCTTTGAACTCTTCTCAAGTTTAGCAGATTCTTTTTTTGTTTGTTTGTTTAGTTTATTTTTCGGAGGGTGGGGGCAGAGAGAGAGGGAGAGAGAAATAATCCTAAGCAGGCTCAAAATGGTTAGTGCAGAGCCCAACATGGGGTTCAATCCCAAGGACCATGAGATCATGATTTGAGCCCAAAGCAATAGTCGGGCACTTAACAGAAGGAGCCACCCAGGCACCTGTACCTGACCGTTTTCAAATCTATGCATTGTTGTAGGTCAGTGGTTCTCAATGTGTTATCTGAACCAGCAAGGGTAATGGCTCATGGGAACTCTGGGCCCCACTTTGGGCCCCATCCCAAATCTACAGAACCACAAACTTTGGGGATGAACTAGAGCACTCAGGTTTTAACAAGCCCTTAGGGTGATGCCTCTTGAAGTTTGGGACTATTAATTTGAAAGATGCCAGTTATGTACGGTAACATACAGTTCTATAAAAGTATTTAATTATTACATCATAATGTGTAATTAGCACTTTTCACAGAGCTGAGTTACTTGCATATTTGAACTCATTTTTATCTTTACAACAGTCCCATGATATGGCTACTACTATTACTATTTAGCTACACATATAGTCATCAGAAATTACTTTATCATTCATTGTACTTGAGTTATTCATATATTAAAGAACTGTGAAACATGAAATTTGTTTTAAAAAATAATAGAAATTAGTGATCACTTTTATCTGTTTCTACCAGAAAGAAAAAGGTTAAACTAGGAAACTAATTTTTTAATGTCCTAAGTATTATAATTGATCACACTTCAAGATTTGAAAAATGCCAATCCCTCCAAAATTAGAAAAGACCTATGTAATTCACAAAACTTGAATTAATGAAGGCCAATAATAATTATAATGAGACCACAAGTTAGAAGTAAAAGATGGAGTGTAAAATCCCTAAGTAATCGACACATAATACATGCTTAATCTTGAAAACTGCCAAGATAAAAAACCACCTTGATGAAAGAGTGCTTTCTGTGTCTTATATTACTTTGAAACACTTCCACCTAGTGGTTGAGTCTTTTAATTACATATTTTATTAGAGCAGTGCAATTATTGTAAGATGTTTTCCACTGTTTAACTTCATCAAAAAACCACGTGTGGATTTTTAAAAATTCATTTTAAAACATAGCTAACTTTCGTACTCTACATAGGAATTTATGGCTCATAATATAATATTTTCTCTGCGGAATTACAAACATACATTATAGACATTTTAATTATCATAATTACTCTAATATTTATTGTACTGCAGTTAACTACTTTGTATGTACCTTATTGAAATTTACCCAAAAGGAAATTTGTACCGATTCTTATGAGTGGAAGTACTGAGTTAATTACTGAGTTACATAATTGTTTTTACAAAACATTAAAAACTTCTTTTCCTGAAAGCAGAAGAAAAAATTTTTTTCTTCTGTGATCAGACCTGCTGTGCACAATTTTGTGTTTTTGAACCTATCTCTATGTCTATCTGTATATCTATCTATATTAGATGTAATGGACATAATATTCTATTAGTTTCAGGTGTACAACATAATGAGTTGATATTTCTATATACTTCAAGATCATTAGTCTAATAACTCTAGTGTATTCTAAATATATGTTTTTAAAATGTAAAACTCAGGCCACTATGTTTTGGTAAGCAGATTAATTATTTTCTCTTCTTAATATTTGTTGCATTGTTTCCTGTTTGGTGCTTTAGCTCACTCAGTCACCGAACAAATATTTATTTAGGATCTATTACAGGCTGGGGCTGATTCCAGTTATCAGAGCACTGAACAAGACCAGAGAAGTTGCTGTTCTCATGGAGCTTACATCGTAGTGGGAACAGGAATGGGTGAAAAATCACATAAGAATATAAATTAATACAGTAATGATTGATATAAAGGAATAACATAAACAGCACCTGACTACTTTACAGCTGATAATCACAGACATCTTCCCTGAACAAGTGACATTTAAATAGAATGGAAACTGGTTTATCCGAAATTCAGGAAAACATTCCAGACAGAATAGCAACTGCAAATGTCATTAGGCACATAAAAGAATTTTAGTGGGCTCTAGAAACACAGAGATGGGCAGAATGACCAAAGCATAACTTTGGAGGAAACGCTGTATGAGATAAGGCTGGTAAGGTAGCAAGGTCATAGGGTTAGGAATTAGGGATTTTGGCTACATTTATTGAATAACCATTAGTACAATCTGGTTTATATGTTACAAAGCTCCCTGTGATTGTTTCATACATTGGAGAAGAGAGCAAAAAAGGAGAACATAAATACATTTAAATATATATTTTGGAGTTAGACCTAATAGGAGGTGATGTAGAACAGTAAGGGAAAGAATGTATCCAAAAATGATTCTAAGTGCTTTGGCTGGAGTAACTAAGTGGATAGTGGGTCATTTATTAAGATAAAGCCCTGGGTAAGAATTGCTTTGGGGTACAAATGGAGACCTCTTTCAGTATCTACACTCGAATTTTTCTCAAATGCATTCATTATTTGGAATTATTTGTGACTCTCATTCTTTAACAAATATTTAATAAATATTCAGTGGAAGCCAGACACTATGCTAGATGACTGGTTTTTCCAGTAAAAATGACCATGTATCTATTGTGCCTATAGAACTTTTTACACTAATAGAAGAAATAAAGGCAGAAATCAAAAAAGCCATACAAAAAAGTAAAATTGCAACTGTGTAGCACAAAAAATGAGAGGTACCTAAAATGATGCTACACTAAGATACAGTGATTGGACATAGTTACGGAAGACTTAGAATTTTCCCCTAAGGAAACCTTAAACTTGATAGTAAATCAGCGATTCTGTGAAGAAGAAGTAATAAACTTAAGGGACTCATCACAGGAAGGAATTTGCCAAGTGCCTGGAGCTGATAAAGAGTCAGCCTGGATTCCTTACCAAAAGAACCTGTAGCAATCAATATATGGGCTACTAATTTAGTAGGGAGTACAATCCTAATAGGTTAGGATTAGGCATGAAGAAAAGAGAGTAAAGCAAAGAAGAACCAAAAGAAGGTACATTATTGGATTGGCCACTGGTAAATTGCAAATAATTGCTCTAATCCATGGGACCATCCAGTATAAGAGAGTGGGGAGGGGCCATGAAAGAAGGTTGGAATTTACCCACGCTCCCTTATCTCACTGAATACACATTTGCTCCATAGGTTATGAATTCCTCCATGTTTCCACACTGAGTATGAATAGGCATCAGGCAGGGTCTCCTAGCCCCTCATGCCATAGTGTTCAAGGGACAAGCCTCCCAGCAAGAGGCACATCATGAGCATTTCTGTTAATCTCCTTCTGCAGTTAGTCTGTTGTAGTCCACACGGAGGGGCTCATGCTACAGTGGCTAGTACCATACAGATTAGGTCTGGGGAACCTGAGGTATTTGATACAATCATAATGTCAGGAATGAAGAGAGGAAGGATAGAATGGTGCATGGTGGGAGTGGGGTTTAGTAGGGGTCCGACCATGCAGATTGCTAAAGACTTACTAAAGATTTTTGTCATTATCTTAGGAACAATGGAAAGCCATAAGGAAACAGCATGAAGAGGCATGTACTTCAAACATTACGCTGTCTGTATTCTGGTCACAAGGTTGGAGTGGAAGCCAATGGACACAGACCAGTTAGCATGAAAGTGGCGCAGCCAAATGACCACAGTACAGAGCAGTGAGTAGATCCAGGAAATACCTAGGCCATAGTTATCAACAGAATTTTGTCATGGATTGAGAATGGTGAAAGGGAGAAAGCTTGGTAAGGATAGGTTTATGGCTTGAGAGTACTTGGATGGATACTATTGCTTAAAAGCACTTAATTGTAGGGGTGCCTGGGTGGCTTAGTCGGTTAAGCATCCGACTTTCGCTTAGGTCATGATCTCGCGGTTTGTGGGTTCGAGCCCCGTGTTGGGCTCTGTGCTGACTGCCAGCTCAGAGCCAGGAGCCTATTTCAGAGTCTGTATCTCCCTCTCTCTCTGACCCTCCCCTGCTCATGCTGTCTCTCTCTCTCTCTCCCCTAGAAATAAATAAAAATATTTTTAAAAAATCACTTAATTGTATGTACAGTTGAGAGATGTTGGATAGGTTTGGAAGGGGAAAGTTATTCATTCACTTTTGACATGCTGAGTTTGAAATATTCTACAACCATTAGGAAAAGAGATGTCAAGCAGGAAGTCATAAATAAAAAGCCTCAAATATATGGAGAATCCTAGGCTAAAAATACCCTGAAGTCATGTGTCTGCACATGACAATCAAAGCCTGAAGGGTAAGACATCTGTTAGGAAAATAACAGAAACCTAACGCTGAGTCTTCAAAGAACTCCAGAGTCCGACAAGTTTGGATGCCATATTTTCCTCTTGGAAGAGTTGTCAGGCAGCCAATATATCAATTTATTTCAATTACTGCTTTTTCGGTTTCAAACGTTCAATTGTATATATATATATATAAAATATTGTTTTCCCCATTGTACGTTTTGATCACAAATCTTAAACTGAGAAGTTTCTAAACATGATCACTAGGTTAACATTAAACTCAAACTTAGCTTTCTTTATCATTTCTAAGATAAAGTGATGGAGTGAGAGATAAAAGGATACATACTGGAATAATGATTCTGAGCCTGGGTTTTAGAGTCAAACCGCACTGGGTTTAATTTCCACCTCGAGCCCATGCTGGTTACATTTACCACATTTTTTAATCATGTTGTGCCTTAATTCTACAAACAGAATATTGTTTTAGAGGTTAAATGTGATAATGTATATAACATGCTTAGTACACGTAAAACACTTTTCAAAAATTATAATTTTTAGTAGATTGGGTGTCCCAATTACTCGCTAACCTTATTTGAAAGTATAGAATATTGAACATTTTCTTGAAAACTGACAGGTCTACATTGTTCTAAAAATAATCAAATGAATATATATATTCGTCTTAATTTTACATTTATCATTAAGTACAGAATTTATTGGCTTATTACATTTTGCAGATGTTGTTATTATATGGTCTATTTGTATGTATAGTCATTCGGATCAAAATACTTTTACTTATATGTCACTTGTGCTTTATTAATTTATACTTCATTTATTGACATTCCAGGATCAGAGGCACCTGAAGGTAAGGTGGATATAGAAATTCTGATTCTTCTTATCTAGACAGAAAAGAATACAAACATTTTTAGAGTACATGAAGTTGAACTTTTATTTGGAAAGTTGAATTTCTTGTATAATGAAAATATTTTTAAACCATACATATTCATAAGCATAATACAAACACCACCTACGATACAAACACATTTTAATAAAGTTCTACTATGAATATTAATCTAAGCCAAAAAAAGTAATCAGGTAAACCAGTTCTACATACCTTTCATCGCTTTTGAAGATGTAATCAAACAATTTAAGACACAAAACAAAGTAAGCTTTGGCTCAACCCTATTTATTTTACTATGGGAACACTAGGATATATACTACCACAAATTACAAACCCAACCCCGTTATAATCAATTTAAAATTGTTACAAGAATCATATCTTAATGGCATGTAAACATATTTAGGGCTTCGATTGGCAACTATGTTTTAAATGCTTAGAAAAACACACCAACATTTCTCATTATTGTTCTCTCTCTATCTCATCTCTTCCATGAATATAAAATAGGAAAAAATATTATTTGAGACTTCCAGCATAATTTCATTGTGCTTTACACCTTTATAAACATGGGTACATCTAAAATATCAGATGCCTTTACACCGATAGAATAATCCACCAAATTCACATTTTCTTATAAATACACATGCAAAATTAGTGAAAAACACTTTTGTATAGCAAAGACCCTGCTTACTTGTTTTCTGATTAATAATTTTTGATGGCATGTGCAAATCATACTGCTCACTGAACAGCAGATTTTATTTCCTGTAGATTTGTCTTTCTATAAAAATATATTTATGTGCTCACAGGAAAAAAGTTGAGTTGGTATGTGTGGGGTGACTTTTGATACATCGTTGGATTAACGGTTTATGAAGTTACAAGGCATCTTAGCTTTGATCATTTTCAGATTTTTCTTCATAAAAAAGAACACCCTGTGACAAAGATAAGGTAACTGAGATCATCATTAGCACTTCATAGTTGAGACAGTACGAAGCAAAGGGGTCAAGCAACGTGCCTAAGGTTTATGTACAAGATCAGCGCTGGAACCAGGAAGAGAACTTGGATTTTTCCAACCTTTGGACAGTTCTCTAGGAACTCATCCCCACCAACAATCCTTGAGATTATATACAATCTATTACATTAAAATAATATTGACAGTTAACAGAGAAAGTTAGTTCTGAACCAATTCTTCTGCACTGAAGATTCTTAGTAGAAGCCAAATGGTATTAAGAAAACGTATAGAGAATAACAGCAAGAGGCAGTCATAACATAACCTCATGCTTCATGTCTGTAAGTAAGTTTTGGTCTTTGAGAAAATAGGAAAAGGAACATCCCTGTTACTCAGACTGCTAAAGGGAAACACTGAGGTCTAGGAAAATCAAACACTGCAGTAGTCGTGTTAAGTTCTAATTTAAAGATTATTAAATTCAAAATAAATCTACTTCTAATGCTTTCTGGATAGTGTTTCCAACCTGCATGATTCTCTTAAAACCGTCTTGGCTGATGACAAAGAAAAGGAACTAGACTAATAGCAGAACTGTACTCGGAAGTGCCAGCCTTGGCCTCATCGGTGGCTGAGGGCCAGAAATTCTTCCCGGGTATGTCAAAACATGAGAATTCTTCCTCCAGAAAATGCTTTAGAAATCTGACGGGGATGAAACTCAAGGTGCACTGATGGAAGTGTGGCCCCTTGTACACAAGGAGGACCAAGATGCCCTTCCTTTTGGAAACTCTGATTTCTGGGAGTTTGGTCAAATCCTGAGCCCATGACGTATTGTTTTAAATAAGACATTCTTTTGCTGCCCATGCATTTTGGAGGACGCACTAGGTAAAAAATGACCATTAGATGCTCCATGTGGATTACTGCACTGACCATTACAAACATCCCTAATTTCGGTCCACAAGAAATACGGTGGGCTGCATAAATCAAAGTCAGGGTTTAACAATGTATAGCCATAGCTACAGTTCAAAAACTAAAGGAAAATCTGTGATTTCACTTTCACTTAAACATAATCAAGAATTTCATGGTAGGGTTAAAAAATCTTTCCATAAAGTGAGAAGTTGAACACTGGATTTTACTGGCATGCATGCACAGTCCTTCATAATATTTTTAAACCATTTTCATGTACAATTTTAGAAGGACTAGTAGCCCACATGCCAGAAAATGAATTCCCTGAATTTGTGCTGACTTTGACAAAAGAACAGAGATCCCACCGTGAAGATGTTTAAAATGTGAAAGGCAAACCCTTTATAGAAATGTCTACTGTAAACAGTTTTTCTTTTGGGGGCTGGGGTAGGAATATACTCACAATGAAACCTTATTTTGAAAAATATGAAAACATTTCCCTCAATATTTATATGATATTTTATTTTGAGACTGTTGGAAAAAGCAATATAAGAACAAAATCCAAACGCTTTATACAAAGTCTTCAGTTTTGGAACCTCGTGTTGTTGGCTGTAGCTCTGGAATGATGAAAAATGTTATCTTACTATATACTTTAGCTGTACAAACATGCCTGTTCATGTTCTTTTTCTCACTTCAAAATAAAACACATCTGTATTTTAAATTGTGTAAATATTAACATAATATGTACAATGCATTCATGAAATATATGCAAGCATACCATTATATAAACATAGAAAAAAAGGTAAAAGTGGTCAATTTAGAAATGAAGATATTAAATAGATGTAGCTAGGAGACTCCAGCATCCCGGATCCCTTGGCCTGTTCTTTCATCAGATAACTGCATCCTTTGCAGCTGAATTTAGTCCAATAAAAGAACAAAAACCAAAGATGGTTCTAGATGTCATAAGTGATATAACCAAAAGATTCATGTTAAAACTGAAAAAGTCAGAATTCTGTTTAAACATGACCATCTCTGGGCAAACAGTTAGGCGCTCAATAAATACGAGTTGATAGTTTACCTAGGACTCCTGCTACAAAAAAAATTAAATAATAGATTTAGACTGTATATATTCAATGAACTGTTTTAATAAGACATTCAAATTCCTCTTTACATTTTAAATAACCAGTTTGCCTCCCATCTTTTTACCTGTCGTGAAGCAAAGTCACTAAGACAGTTCTCAGAGACTGAATACAAATGTGCACACAGAGGAAAAACCACAAGGTAGCAACAACAATGCGAACACAGTGAACAGTAAAACCAGGCAAAAATGGAGTACACTGAAGGGATACTTTGGATTCAGTTGAGGTGAATCTAAATACAGGATCTGTTTTATGTTCTGAATTTTCAGCACCTGAAAAACAAAACAAAACAAAACAAACAATATAGGCCTGTAGTGCTTGGTATTTTATTTTTTCAAGGCAGTGCTATTCTCTCAACATAATTACAAGATGTTCAAATTCTGGATGAAATCTTATGCCAACACGTTTCTATTCCTATGTGAAAGTTCTTGCTCCCTCGAACAGATAAATATGGAAGGTTGGTGTGAAACCACTGATGTTTACATGTGATACATTTACGCTCGGAGTGGAAATGTTGCTGTAGAACTGCCATTGCTTTCAACAGATCCTTTCTCCTTAGATCCAGCGTACGCGCCGATAAAGGATCCATCTTCGCTGAACAGACCGTGGTCGCCTTCTCCGTACTGGACTAAGCTGTCAGCACTTTCTGTGGCCTGCATATCCCTGTTAAGGGATCGAAGGCTTCCTTTGAGAGGTTTCTCATCACTGTCACTACAAAATAAAGAACAATTCAACAAAATCTAATATGAGATATTCACATAAAGCAAAACTCATGCGTATGTTCTAATAGGTCTTAAGTTTTAAGACATTCACATCAGCATTGCAGACGCATAAACTATAAATTACTCCTTCGCAAATAAATGTTTACAAAATCATAACCTATTTGTGTCCTTCTGAGTAACTGAGAAACTATTTGCTATTATACACAACACTTCTGCTTCCCTTTAAAAATGGGAGTTTTGAGACAGGCAGACATTTAATCTGTTGATATATAGAGACGATGATGTTATTCCCTTTGATTTCATGAACTTTTCGAACTTCCAGTCATCAAATCTTGATCTCTTGTGTTTATCTTTTATCCTGTACATACCCCTACATCCTCCCAAAATTTGCTCTTTTGATTAGGTTAATCAATCAAAGTCTGTTTCTGGTAAACAAAGAACTTTCTTTAATACAGTTGATAAACTCAGGTTGGTAGATTTTTTTTTTTCACATGGCTGGCATTTTTAGAACATAAATATTTATAGTATCCTAAATTTATTATTTAGGTTTTATTCTTCAATAAAAATTACTGAGTTACTAAAGTGTCTATAAAATGATACGTATTCTAAGTTTCTGGATCAAGATCTTGTTTAAGTACTAACTACTATCACACTGTAAAGCTGTATGCTAAGTTAAATATTTTATAACATTTTAAAAAAGGAATTATATATTTGGAAAAATATATAATTGGAATATGATTAGCACTTTATAATTTTTGATAATCAGTGTTGTTCATCAAATAGGTCCATCTGTCAGCTGTATTGGAGCCAGGCAGGGTGATATTTCCCTGACGTTTCTGAGCTATACATTTCCAGGGGACTTGAGCTGGCCCAAGAAAAGTGAGCAAAGTTGGCCTGTGTCACTTCAGAGCCAGTGCTCAATTTGCTATGTTCTATTTCCACCGCTGTGGTGATCCTGGATTCTCATCTACCAGGCACCACTCCTAAGTGGTCAAGATGACCAGAGCCAACTGTATTGGACACATAACTTGAGAAAGAAGATTTTGGAGTTGCCTTTGACAGCAGCATTGCCCAAGCTATCCTGACTCAGGCAGTAACTGGCTGCAGAATCAAGATGCTTACAGTTAGAAAAACAAAAATACAAAAAACAAAAACAAAAATGTGGCATTAGCTTAGGGACCAGGTAACAAGTAGTGAAGAAACTATTACCAGAAACCGGAAGAATGACAACTCCTGTCATGAGCAAGAACAGCATCCAGTAAAACTGTCTCCTGGGGTAACTTGGAGACTAGGTAATTTTCCAGATGAACATGTAGTTTTGGGAAAAGATGATGGAAAACATTAAGAGATTAAATAGATTTAAATTAAAATATTAATAAATACTTTTGTTAATGGGATGCCAGGTTAAACAGTGGATGGCTTTATCAGGCAGCAGAGTAAGCAGGAATGAGTCTTTGAACAAGGCATTATCATAGCTTTTCTCTTCCCTATAAAACTAAATGAGTAATATCTGTATTTAAAATATCTGTGTTTAAAATTTTAAACAATAGGCCCCTAATGATTCCTGCCACATGGAATCTGAGCCACAATTTGTAAATCTGTAAAGTTTCAAGTTTCCCTTTCTCTCTCGGTCTCCCTCCTTCCCTCCATCCCTCTCTACTTTCCTCTCTTCCCTCTTTCCTTCCTTCTTCTCCCTTTAATGATCCTTATTCTGGAAAGAACTTAAAATGATTAATCAAGAAATGTAAAACTATAAAAAAGAGCTTTTAATAGGTGCAAAAAAGAAAAATTAGTATAGAGCAAAGTAGAGCCTATAATGAGGTTCAAATGTACATCGGTTAACCCAGGACAGCTAGTCAGAATGCTCCATTTCACCGAAATGGATCCAGGGATGGGCCAGTTAGAGTCAAGTCTAACTGGGCCAGTTCAAGTCTCTTTTCCATATGAATTCTGGCCTCCTGTGTAATAAAGACTGTATAAGCCTGGGCCCCCTTGGCTGCAATATACAGAGGACGTGATGGCAAACAATGCCATCTCAAACACAAATGGCGAAGAAACGGGGAGGGTGGTACAAAGAGGAAGATGGTGACCCACAATAGTAGAATGAGAAGTCTAACACATCCTCCATTAAGATACCCTACAATTCTCACGTTGGGGCACACTGGTTTTGGTTTTGTTTTTGTTTTTAGAGAGAGAGAGAGAGAGAGAGAACACAAGAAGGAGAGAGGGACAGAGGGAAAAAGAATCTTAAGCAGGCTCTATGTTCAGCAGGGAGTCAGGGGTAGGGTAGATCTGACAACCCTGGGATCGTGACCTGAGCTGAATCAGATGTTGAACTCAACCAACTGAGTTACAGAGGCGCCCCATATGCTTTTTTTCTCTTGTTTGGCCATGCTCTGACCAGTACTTAACAGTAGCAGAGCCCATTTCATCTTTCAAAACTATCTTCTCTCTTCTGGATGATAGTTTGCTTTATCAGCATCCCTCCAGGGCTGAAAGAGCTTGTTCTTTGTGCTCTCTTATTTTCTTTACTTAATTATAGTGATTTGCGTATAGGTAAGTCTTTTCCTCTGCAGACTGGGTTCATCATGAGGACAGGATTTGAAACTCACTCACCTTTGTAAGTATACAAAGGCATACAGAATACATGTTAATGGACACAAACTGAATAAAACCTGGGTTCATAATGGCCACGCTGGAGACTTCAAGATGTTTTAGAAAATCCAATCAGATATTCACTCTAAATGAAAACAGTATCCTTTGTATTGCACACAGAGCTTAAAAAAAAAAAAAAAAAAAAAAGTCTCCTAGCACACACATTTACCTGGATCTCAGTAACATCCACCCCTACACCCAGAAGGTTGGTTACTATCACTCAAGTAGATCCTATTTTTACAAACCATTCTTTATTTTTTTAAGTGTTTATTTATTTTGAGAGAGAGAGAACACGTGTATGCAGGGAAGTCAGAGAGAGAGAGAACCCCAAGCAGACTCCACACTGTCAGCACAGAGCCCAACACAGGGCTTGATTTCACAAACTGTGAAATAATGACTTGAGCGGAAATCAAGAGATGGATGCTTAACTAACTGAGCCACCTAGGTGCCCCTACAAACCACTCTTTAAAAAGGTATTACAATATAGTAGTATAAACTTTAAGAAGAAATACTTGTTTGTTTTTGTATTTTTAAGCTTATAACCTGATGAGTGTATGTTTTAACACATTTTGAGACAGAACACTGTTTACCTGTATTCACCAAAAGTTTCATCTTTTACTGACTGAACTTCTGGATCTGGATGCAGATCTTCTTTTTCTTTCACTAACAAACAAATAGAGGGGGAAGTAATACAAGTAATTTTTAAAGACATATTAATAGTGTGGCTAAAGATGGATAATCAGTAAGAAGCACAGCTCCAGTTCTTAGATACGAGTGAGTCAAGTGGCTTTTTGTGGTTGTATCTCTAACCTATCAGTTACCTCTTTGTTAAAGCCAAAAAAAAAAAAAAAAAAAAAAAGGAAAAGGAGCTCCTAGATTCTCCTGATTTGTCATCAGAATTAGAGCCTGTTGGAGATGCTCATGTGGCTAATCAATATCATGTGGGCAATGAGTCTTACTGGAAGAGTCAAGCTTAGTTATGGTTTCTCGCTGAAGACCAAATTACTGGATACTCATTTTACTATCCAAAACTTTTTGAAGACACCATAGGATCCTACCAGATCTATGTCACTAAAGTGAGTTAATAGTCAACCATTTGTTTGACTGTTCTGTTCTCATTCGTATTCATAATCGCCTCAATAACCAGAATATTCAGGTCTATAGTGACATTTTAAATTTGATTTATTCTAAGTAGTGGGACACAGGACAACTAGAAAAACACAAACAAAAATCCTTCATGGCATCTTTTACTATTACTTGCAGAGACCGAAGAGATTCTTTTACCTGTCCTACAATGTGAAATGTTCACCTTTTTTTTTCTTTTCCATCATTCTTTAAAATTTGGATAGGGCCACACTTCACAAGTGACTATTTGTTGGGGATACTCAGAAAAGAATGCTATATCTCTTTAAATTTTCCAATTAATTAACTAGAACAGTCATCCATTATTGAAAATCTACTTCATAATAATTCAGGGTTCACAGGGAAAAAATGAGATGTATAATTGCATAAATTTCCATGCATACATTTTATAAAAATTTAGAAATTATGCTTTTGTTTGTTTGAATGTTAAATATACATATAGATTCCCAATAAATATTTGCTAGATGAATCATAAGCCAATAAAAGAACTTCTCACTAATCTGAACACCACCAAACTAATCTTTCTCCTTATGTATAAGCATCTTGAACACTAATAATAGCAACAACACAATATGTATATCTGAAAAAGATCAAATAAATTTGGAAGTTGAACTAAAGCCAATCATTTTATTAATTATGATGGTTTTTAATTTATGTACATTAATTCAGGAGGCAGTGTATCCAGTATATGTCACAGTCATAAGAAATGCATTCCCAACAATGACTAACACTAACAATGCTGGCTAATGGAGCCACTGCTGTTAGAATAGGCTAGTGCCTACATTCTTTGCATCATAAATACGGGGCAAGGCATGCTATAAAATGGTCCCTTCTTCTGAAGACATTCAACTATATGTGTGTGGCTTAGTCATGAGTGTTGTCAACATCTCCGATACTTTATAGACAGAAAGTAGAAGTTTGGAAATATGATAAGCCTTCTTAGAGACTACTTAAGTACCAGAAAGTAAAAAACAAGTAACAATCTGAAATTAATATTCCAGACCATACCTTCTTTGGTTACTTAATTTAGGATTTTTTCCCCTCTTAGTGTACTGCGTGTCTAACGTGCTAACATAAATTTGACCTAAATGCGTAATTCAAAAAATAAAAGATGTCTCTGAAGAATGCCTCCTAGAAAATACTATTGCATACATTCAAAGTGTGTTAAGAAACAGCTTTACCTGAGTACTTTCCACCTCTGTTCCTCTTCACAAAGCAGACAGTTAATAGGATTAGTGTGAGAAGAGCAATCGCACACATCAATCCAATAAACCAGCCTTGAGTGGAGATGTCATCATACAAACCAGCATATTCTGTTGTACAAAGAGAAGTCACACATTGGATACTAGAAACAGTGTTTGGAATTAAGCCCTTTGTGGGAAAATGAAACGTATTTTTTTAAGCATACAAAATAGCATCCATTTTATTTTTCCCTTCAGTGACCCTCGAGGGAATGTGACTTAAAGGACATTTCATTGGAAGAATACTGATAAATCATTCAGCCTCTATTTAGAAGGAAACCTCTCAAGCTGCACTGGACTCTGAGGATGAAAACCGAAAAGAGATAGTGGAGGCAGAGGGAGTGAAATGCACAGCAGCACAAGCAAGCAAAAGCATAAGCTGGCTTGGTTATATGCAGATTGCCAGGGGGCTTCAGGGTGGGGCGGGGGTGGGGTTATTTGGCTTTGTTTTTCTTTTTAGTTTTTGTTATTAACATGTGTTAATTGGCAGGAGATATTTTTAGTCGACTACTCTGGTAAAAATGATAAGGAATATGTTGGAACTTTGTGGAACGTTTTTCATTTTGATAATTTAAAACTGGTATGCCAAAACAAACTGAAACTATTATCTTTACAGCTAATGCACCCCACATTTTTATCTTTAATACAGGAAGTATATAAAATTTAAAAATCTACACAACATAGATTCATTGTCTAAGATCACCCCAAATATAATCTCATGTCTCACCTCTCCCTCTTGTCTCAATTACATCTTCAAAAATGCTATTATTATCAACCCAATTCTTAGTCAATAGGCGAACTATATGTTCAGCTCCAGGCTCAAATACCTCTACTGGGTGAGTCTTTTGAGTAAGATTTACTCCTTCTGATATCTTCCCGATACTTTTACCTAAGAAATGCACACAGTTAAATCATATAAATTGTAATCTTTGAAAAACAGGACATGAAAAGAAAAAAAATACTGTTATTTGGGAGGAGAGCCATTTGTAGCACTTTTTTCTCAGATAGTTTTTGAATTATCAGGAGATCAAGAAAATCAACATTTCAAGATTTTCTTTCTAAAGGTACTGAAATTGAGTAAATGAAATGAACTTAATTCATGTCCTTTAAAGATGATGTACTTGTTGATGAAATGACACTATATGAATGGTTATAAACCAAACACAGATTTCAGAAAATTATATAATGTCATTTTGTGCAATATGGACTTACACAACCTAGCAGGAAACTGAACCGGCCATTTTGGCTTATTTTTGAAAACAAGCGTCATTATAATTCTAATTTTTTTAGGCCTTGGTCCTCTCTATAAATACTGATGCAAAAGCATCATAAGGTGGCCATATACTAAATACTTAAAATCTGTAGACACAGCAGTTTTATACGTACATAAAGCACAGGTTTACAGGTACATTTAAATGAAATGCAGTGATTTTTAAAATGCTGTAAGGCATTAATACTGACAAAAAAGAAACATGAGTATGTCATTATATTAATTGTAGAATCTTACAGCAGCAGATAAAATAGGAGTCAAGTGTAATTAAATATACATTTGATTTTTGATGTTGCAACAAAATATGTAAAATATTTTATATATGATCTGCAATTGTGCTAAGAATCAACTCAACATAATAAATGTAAACCAGAAACTGTTAATAATTTACACTGAAAATAAAATACTATATTCCATTTTGAGAATATTATAAGTTCTGGTATTCTGTTTCAAATGGGTATATGTCACACATTAAATTTGGTTATAGCTCTTAACCATAGAATAGAAATTGATGATATAGTTGTTGGTAACAAAAGGGCTTCATTAAAAAAGGTCACCATGGCAGAAGGAAGGCCAATTATATTAGTTGAGCAAAGCCTTTAAGATTGATCACCACTGAAATAGAACACAATTAATTTTGACTTTGAAAAACAGAAATATTAGTATAACATTAAGTAATGCAAGCTTTTGAAAAATAGAGCAAAGTAAGTGTTTTGTTCAAATTAATAATGACACAAATATTTCTGAATAGCTCCATCATCTTTCTCCTCTCAGACTATGGAATGGGGGCCACCTGAAAATCAGAGTGACAACCAGAAAGTAATCAGGGAAAAAGAGCATGTGTATCAAATCCATTCTCTGAGTAAATGCCAGATGACCTGAAAATGTGCTATCTAGGCAGAGCAAGAAGAAAGATACACAGAAATAGATTCCAATTTGCACAAAAGTTCTTTTTAGAGTGCTTCTGATATCAAGATTTATATCCTCCATGGAAATATATATGTATGTTTCCTTTTTCAAAGATCATGCTGAAATCCAGTGGCAAAAAGAGATGATAGTTTCTTTCCTGTAAATATGGCAAATTACGCCTATAGAAGAGAAATCAGTGTCAACTAGGGAAGGGGCAGTGGTTGAAAATGCAGAGTCCTGAAAAAGAACACAAACATACTAGTAAGGAACATTTTCAATTTACTGAGACATAGGGTAGTGAAGAAATATGCTATAAGATACTCAAGCATATTAGCTGCATCTTTAATTTACAAAGAAGATGCTACATCACTTATAAAATTATACAAACAGCATTTTCCATCAGCTTAACACATTTTCAAACATGAAAGTGACCAAACCCAAATTCTCTAAATATTTACATATATGCATATGGGAACTATAACTCCTAGAAGAGGATTTTGTAATTTTTTTCTTACCTACTGTAAATTAGCAATGATGGAATTAGCATTTCTCCTGCATATTACGGTCTTGGTTCTAACAAAATAGCAACCTTCTCCGTGTCTTAAACTCTGTTTTGAAAAATATGGAGGTTGCAAACTTAGATCACTACTATTCTAACTTCTTTTCTTTGTATGGAACATTTGATGCCAGTTTGAACTCCTGAGAAATAAGGTCATACCTATTAAAAATCATGGACATTTCCCCGCATATTATATTCTCATTGAATCTTTCACTTAAGCACTTTTAATCTTTTAGTGTAACAATTTGGACAATGATTTGTGTCTTCTATGGCTTCTGGTTTAATATGAGGCACCAAGTAAGTACTCATTATATTCAGACTCAATAAACTGGTTAATAAATTACATATTTTAAGATACCTACTATATACTAAGCACTCATATATACACTCATATATATGTGTATATATATATATGTGTATATATATGTATATATGAGTCAAGGCATGGAAGTTAAATGTATTAGATCATTGTTACAAAACATCTACCAGGGTGAGGGGCAAATATTTTTCAGTATGAAAACATTTCCAAAAGAAAATATCCCTGTACTAACCTTATGAATAACTTTATGACCTTACATACTCTTATTTTAATTAAGTAAAATTATAGTTCCTGACCTTATATACATTGAGGCTGTAGTTTCATTGCTGCTGTGTAGAAATCCATAAATTGAGTCAGTGTGAACTTTACACACAAGAAAGAGAAATAAATTCTGTATTTGTATCAGTGGAAAACAAAGGTCAGCCAGATTGAGATCACAATCATTTCTAATTCACAGGGCTAGCATGGTTCGTTCCCTTCAGAGCGGTTTAAAAAACCGCACAGAGAAGCCTCTTGCACTTACTGCCTTCTCCTAACGTGGAGCCTTCCTCTGTGATTGGTTTTCCACAGCCCTTTGAAGTACAAGCTCTCAAGTAGAATTTGTACTTGGTAGTTGAATTGAGGTTTGAGAGACGCCAGCTGGGCTTTGATGGAGTGGTAATGTTGATATCATTTAGTTCTCCAAGTTCATAGGTGTCATTTACTAAAGAAATAAACATAAACAGTAATGCCTTAGATTTCATATGCTTAACAATTCAATTTATGCTGTCCCTTATTTTTTATTCTGTATACGCTTGTGGTATGCAAGGCACTGTCTTAATTATTGATGACCAGCAACTTACTCAATTCTACGATGTGGACATAATTATTATTACAATATCATACATGGGAAAATTGAGGTCTAGTAAGAATAAAGATCTTGCCTAGATCCAGAGCTAGTAACTGGCAAACCAAGATTTGAATCCAAACCACAGTCTTTCCACTCCAGAGCACATGTTCTTAATCACTATGCCACACAGGAGCCAATCGCTCCGCCTTCATCATACCTATTAAAAATGATGGACTTTCCCCCCATATCATATTCTCATTGAATCTTTCACTTTTAAGTGCTTTTAATCTTTTAGTGTAACAATTTGGACAATGATTTGTGTCTTCTATGGCTTCTGGTTTAATATGAGGCACTAAGTAAGTACTCGTTATATTCAGAATCAATAAACTGGTTAATAAATTACATATTTTAAGATACCTACTATATGCTAAGCACTATGCCAAGTGCTAGTCAGAAAATGATGAAATAGATAGCATCTTTCAAAGAATTTGCAACCAGCAAGATCATGGGATTTGTGCAAGAGCACAAAGAATTTTAAGATTACTGTAAAAACAGTCCAAGAAATGAAACATCCCAAAATAGTGCAGCCATTAGCAGCAAGGGAAGGGCTAGAATAAATCCTCTTGATGCTCAGTTCAAGATATCACAAAGGTTAAACACACACACACACACACACACACTACATGCACACACAAACAACATAAAAATGCCTTCCTTGGTTTATATAATGCAATTAGATCAATGAACAAGAAAAACAGAGATCCAAATTTTGGAAATTAGAAAAAAATATCACTCTTTACAGAGTTGAGAGAATTCCTATAAAATACCACAAAGTCCACTGATAAACTACAATAACCAATCTACAAATTTAGAGAAGTGCATAGAGAGCTCGTATACACACAATCGACAACTATTTAGAACACATAAAGCAACAGAAAGAGAGAAGTTATCTAAAAATATTTCAATCACTTAACAGAAAGCAAAGTTAAGTGTACAATTACATCATTTGATTAAAAATCCATGTCTCAAGGAGTACGATAATCACTGCAGTTGTTAACATTCTAGCCTTTTCTCTATCTATTCTAAGAACTTGTTCTTAAAATAAATTTAGATCTTACAAACAAATCAACACAAAGGTTGAAACTTTATTAATGTTGAGTTTCTTTACTCTTAGGATAGAGTAAACAAACCTTGATAAACCTTTATCAAACAAATTAACATTTAAAAAGTCTTCAAATATTTCTTCAGTGCTGTCTACATATATGGAAAACAGTTCATAGAATACTGTAGGCTTAAGAGCTCAGCATGAAGAATCAGACAGATTTAGGTTTGAATCCTGCTTAATATTTATTTTACTACATGGCTCCAGTTAGGTGAACTCTTTATGCCTCCATTCTGACACCCACAGAATAGTGAAAATACATTCCTCATATATTTTCTACTTTAATGAAAAATACAGGGAAAGCACCTGGTACTGATCCTGCTACTTAGCAAACACTCAGAAAAATGCTAACATGCTACTTCTATTGGGATTATGCCTGTATCTATTTAATTATATGGCTCAACTCAGAACAGGCCATCGGGAGCTAAAACTCATATGTGACCTATATTGCTACAAGCTTTGAACTACGTGGAGGCAGAATAGCTCACCAAGTCCAACATCAATGCCTTTTGTAATTAGCACGGTTCTAGGGTTTTGGCTGTCAGGAATTCATGTCCTCAAAGTCTAAAATTTTCTATGATCTCAGTTCCCTAGTTTCCACTATGAGATGATGGTTTGATGTGAAGACTGTTAGACATAGAAGGCACTACGATTAAAAATGACCTGATTTCATCTAAGCATGTTTTCAACCAAATGTCACAGCAGCACAAGGACAGAGCCCATTCTGAGTAATAGGGCAAAACAACTCTTTAAACCTCTACGCATAGAGGTTTCTACAAACAGAAGTATGTTGAAGGTTGAGGCTGGAAGCATGTGTTGGAGACCAAAGAAGTGCAGGGTGGAAGTTACGTGTGCTTTGAATCTCCATTACATCACTTACTATGCTTTTTCTTCACATGTTTCTTAATTTTCAATGCCTCTTATATATAAATATTAAACACATGTCTTCTGGTACCTACTGATTTTTCTTCTGAATCAGGGATTGGGAAACCTTTCTGAAAAGGACTAGACTATAAATATTGCAGGCTTTGTGAGCCATGTAATCTCTGTCACAGGTACTCAACTTGGCCACTCTAATGAGAAAGCAGCTATACACAAATGTAAATGAGTGGACATGTATGGACTGTTTATGAAAACAGGCAGCAGGCTGGATTTGGTCTGCAGGCCAATTTACAAACCCTTTTGTTGTTAAGGTAGTTATGCCAGCTTACAAACCATGATCATTAGATTCTTAGCACACAAACCAAATACTCAACCAAATAATGAAATATTTCCAGGTGGACCCAATTCAAATTTCTGCTTACTTATCTGATACTGTAATAGGTAGCCAGTCAAGTTTCCATTCAATTTCTTAGGTAGACCCCAGGTTAGAGTGGCAGTGTCTTTATCAACTTTGATGATCTTCAAAAAATCTGGTTGTTCAGGTACTAGAAAACATAAGATCAAAAAGAGACATTTATAAACTGGAAAATTTCTTTTTTAAAAAAAATCTCCATTAGATTATAGTTTTTCATAGAGTTTGAGAAGCTAAGTCATATGAAGTACATATTAATTAACTACTAACAAGGAGGGATATGTTTAATTTGGTCACTGGATAATTCCCATTGTTGGCATTATTCTCCACTGTTATTCTTACCTCCTTCTGGTGTTTGAAATATATAAGGCTCACTCTCTGGACCAGCACCTTTGGAATTATAGGCTAAGACTGTTAAATGAAATTCACTAAAGGCATCTAGAGAAGGAACCATTCCATAGTTTCTTTGTCCTGAAAACCTCAGAATGTTAACTTCTTTGGCATGTGTTCTTCCATCCAACAGACTTTTTGTCTTCCACCAATTTACCTGTAATGGAAACAGGAACACTTTAGCATATTGGCCATGGTGGCAGATTTTCTTTGACCTTCTTCTGAGATCAGTTCTTATTTGCATTTAAGATATTTATTCAGCAACAGGAAGAAAATCTATGATAAAAACCTGATATCCTTTTAGATGTCCATGTACTCTGTCCTTTGGAATTGTCGACCACGTAACTTTAACTAATGTGCTGTTTATAATGTCCACCCCGTGGATCACTGGAGCTGTATCAGGATCTGTTAAGCACATAAGGATCATGAGTTTTCAATAACCTTCAACTGTAATTATATCCCCTTTTCAAAAGGGGATTTTTCATATTGCTTAATCTGAGCAAAGCACTCGTAGGAAATCAATTCCAAATGGAACCAAGAGAGTTTCTCATCTCAGAGAAGTTTCAGAGCTCTAATAGGTTTCTAGGAAAAGAGACAACCACACTGAGAAATGCAGCTCTCCAGGCAGGGCCAATGTTACTGGAAACAGTGACCAGTGAAATACTCTGTAGGTATCTGGCCTTTAGAGGCAAGTGAACTAAACAATAGAACTAAAATTACTTAACAATTTGATCAATCTATTGACAACAATAGCTAACTATGCTAAGTGTAGGCAATGTTCTAAAAAACTGGACAATGGATTGTCTCACATAATCTTTAGAACAATGTTATAAAGTGGTATTATTATCCACATTCTACAGAGAATTAAGTATGGAGGAATAAGCCAAATGCAGAGTAGTAAAGACTAATAATATCTTAGTTCACAGTGATATGTCTGGTGTATCTGGGTAGAATTTAGATAGCAAGCAAATAAGGAGTTAAGTCATTTCACATTCTCAACCTTCGTCCATTCTTGGATCAAAATATTACTCTGGACACTGGATAAACAATGAGAATAACTCCTTTAGTCATATGAAATACAGCATCTTCCCTTTGTTTTATAATCTGTTATTATGGTACAAATATGAGCATATGAGTAGTACCTCAAAACTGTGTGTGTGTGTGTGTGTGTGTGTGTGTGTGTATTTAGTTCTCTACTTAAATCTCAGTTTATAAGTCATCTGCATTAGGAAGGTTCCAGACGTACAAGTGAGTGAGGCCAGGGCATGGCAGCAAATGGCTGTTAGGATGTCTTTGACAGGTAAGGACAAATGTCACTGGGAACCTTATGACAGTTATACTGATTGACTAATTGCAGTGATTATTACTGTTATCTGATTTTAATATAGAAATAAGTTTACTCAGAAGCTCAATCAAATTAAAACTTTTAACATATTCCCAGCCACTCTATAGTGATCACCTATCCTGCAATCAGCCCTAAAGGAGGAACCAATTGTTATATTTCTTTCTATCTCCCACAGCTATTACATCCTCTTTGCGTGCAGCAGGTGCTCAAAAATCTCCATCAACAAAAATGCAATATACATGAAAGAAACTGCTCTTAAAGTGCTTGCTGGTTTCCAGTGTATCACTTACAGTCTTCCCCAGAGTAGAGAATCACTGACTGAGGCTCAGGGCCAGAGCCAAGGTGATTGATGGCTTGTACTTGGACATCATAAGGAGCATAGACAGTAGGTGTCATCACGCGCAGGGTGTGGTTTGTGACTGTTTCTTCTTCCCACTCCACGGGGGCTCCCTGTGGCTTCCACATCACTCTGTACTCTAGTCCTGGTCCATTCTGCTCCATGGATTTCAAAGGCTAAGATAAAAGGCAAGGTTCATCTAGTGTGATCAGGGATATCCTGAGTCAGAGACGGTGGCAAGCCACCCTAAACGGCAAAAGAAGCATTGCAACAGAAGGATCGTGTCTTGGAAAGTCTTCCATCTCCCTCTGGTTTAGAAACACTTATGAGGGGCGCCTGGGTGGCTTAGTCGGTTAAGCGTCCGACTTTCGCTTAGGTCATGATCTCGCGGTTCGTGGGTTCGAGCCCCGCGTCGGGCTCTGTGCTGGCTGCCAGCTCGGAGCCTGGAGCCTGTTTCAGTCTGTGACTCCCTCTCTCTCTGACCCTCCCCTGCTCACGCTGTCTCTCTCTCTCTCTCTCCTAGAAATAAATAAAACATTAAAAAAATATATTTTAAAAAATAAAAAAAAAAAAAAGAAACACTTATGAAAATTTTTGTCTTTCTGTAAGTTTAAGTTTGGAAGTTAGTCCTTCACCTACCTAACTTGTAAGAAGCCCACAATTTAGATGCCTTGATTATGCCCTTGTGATTAAGTCTCACTATTCATTTTTGAAAGGATTTACTAAGAAATTCCACAGAGGATTTTTGCCTCTGTCTAAACTTTCCTCTACTATTTCATTACCAAAGAAGTAGAAGATATAAAAAAAGGCATGATCATGAATTGCATGGCTGTGAAAGGGACTTCCCATGACTTTCCTGTCAGAACTCTTCCACCTGACTCCATCCATCCTTCTCCATCTGCCTTCCAAGAGAAGAGAGAGATTGAGTAAATTCTTATATCTGGATAATATGCATGTTTATACATTAGTGCCTAGAAGATATAGCTCCTCTCTATAATAATATTATTCTCCAGCTTCTTGACTATTTCTTTAAGACAAAGTGCCCCCCTCCCATCTTCAGCTTCCACTATATTTTGCTGTACAGGAAAATTTAGTGGAGGAATTTCTAGTATAGGAAATTGGTTATTTCCACTCTGGTTTTTAATCAAACAATACTTTAATTAAAAAAACATTAATGTGATTTAAATCATCTGTTTCATTTCAAAAATGGGAATATGCATCTAAATGAATCAGTTATATAGAATACATAAAAAATGTGACTTTAGTCCTAGAATGTAAGGTTCACTTAAATAAACGGTAATTTTGTGTGTATATACGAGTGATTCAATGATGTCATATATAGTGTTTTCCTACAGAATATACAATGGCTCTTGACTCAGTCCAATTTACTAAAAATAACCCTTTAGACTCATTGGTTGGAATTAGGTTGAAAGTACTGCTATATTGGCAAAGTAATTTCAAGTCTACGCTGCCTCCAAAGTGAATCCTTAACTTAGCTATGAGAAAAAAATCAAAACAAACTGAAACCCTTCTGAGATTTTAGTCATGGTTTATACTTCACATTCAACATTTTGCACCGAGGTAATTTTTACTACCATGTGGATATAAATTCACCAGGGGCTCTAGCATTGCCCAGATGAATCAGGCCACAAGCTTTCAGTTTCATACTGCAATACAGAATTACAATTCCTTTAGCCTCTACCAACAATACATGTGCACAAGTAAAAGTATTCAATTTACACATGTTTTGCTCCAAGGAAAATTGTTACGTTTGATAAAGCTCTATGGCAAATTTTAAAATAAACTGTCACCATCAGTAACACTTTTAAGAAAAATCTTATCTAAATCACCAGGCTCCTGGGTGCTTGGACTCTGGAAGAAGCAGTGGGAATATTTTGTATTTGGCTTTCAGACAACTGGCAACAAAATCACAGCAAATTCTTAAGTAGGCCTCCAACAAAGACAGCAGACCAGAAGGGCAAAATCATGGGTGCGGGTCAGGGCCCTCTCTTCATCACTGACTCAGCGCAGGGCATCTGGGCAAGGTCATTAAAATGAGAGTCCCAGCTTCTCTGTATGAAATGTACAGCTGATAGCACCAGGCTGCTGTGGCCTTCAGGAGTGGAGAGGATTAACGATCTGATTCTGGTGCAACAAAGTGTGCTTCTCTGAGGAACCGACCTGATAATTACATACTATTATTCTCATCTAACTGCTTATATCATCTGTCTGATAGAAATTTGCATGGAACTTAAGAGAGGAAAAGAGATTCTATGAGAATAATATATTAACATAATTTCAGATTACAATTTAAGAGATTATCAAGACAATGTAGTCGCAAATATGTATGACCACAAATTCAAGGAAAGAAATAATACTCTTGGATATATTTATACTCTGTGTATTACCATTTTTTTCAAATTTTAAATCTGCAGAGCTTAATTTCATTGAAATGGGAATAATAGGTTAGTGTCGATATAAGAATATTGACTAAAAAAATCCACCTAAAGTTCATGCATCCTAAAATTCTTTACAAAATCGCATCTGGAAAGATGTTTAGAAATAAATTAGTATGTTTCAGCATACATGCAAGAATGTCCTACATTTACATGAAATTCAATGAATTTAATGTTGGAAGTCTATCACTAAAATCAGAATGTTTGGCAATCTACTTTCAAGTAGGTTAAATTACTTGTTCATGAATTTGTCCAAATGGGGCAGGGCGGGAGGAAGTTACCCACTAAGAAAAAATTTAGAAATAACACTCCAAAAAATTAAAGTCATCTGAGCAGATGTGAAACTTCACACCAAATTCAAAGACGAGAATCTACTTCATAACCTTTAATAGAGAAATATAAAGGGGCAAAAAGTGCAGTTTGAAGTCCAAAGATACCTATGTTTATATTCTAGGTTTGTCGATGTCTAGTGAGAGATTGAGAGCAAGACTGCCAATCACCTTGACCTCAGTTTCCATATCTAGAAAAAGATATTAATGACAAGGCTGTTCTCAAAATTAAAAAACAGTATACAAAAAGCTTGATCGTGCTTAATAAGTTGTGGCTATTATTTGTTAGACTCTTGATATGCATATTTACTCAACCATGTACTAAAATATAATGAAAAAATTTTAGTAATTTTTTGAACGAGAGGATTGAGAATATTAGTTATAAAGATACTAGGAAATCTGAAACTTTTGATAATGGATTACAATTAAATCAACCTTTATAACCTTTATATTATTTAGCCCTGTTTAACATTCTAATAATATTCTAATCACAAAGATCTATAAAATATCCAAAGTGAATATATTTATAAAATATACTAATTGTATATCTTTGTTCTTAAAAACAATATTTTTCTAACCTTACATGTAGCATGCAGATCTAAGAGAAAAAAAGAACACAAAGAAGTGTATAACACATTAAGGAATACGCACCTCCCATCTTATAATCATTTCCTTGGGTTGAGAAGCTTGAACTCTTATGTTTTGTGGATTCTTGTCTGGAGCTGAAAATTTTTAAGTAATAAAATTACTCTTTCCAATTTTATGGCTCATAAGTAAACCAGCCTATCACCCCTCCTCCAGCTAAAAACAATTTTAAATAACTTTGATTATATTTGTTTATTTCTATCTGGCCCAGTTTGTAAAATTACTTAAGGCAGTTTTTTCCTCCAGCTTTCTTGAGATATAACTGACATATAACATTGTGTAAGTTTAAGGTGTACAATGTAATGATTTCATGTATGTGTATGTATATATGTATCAAACGCAGAGGTATGCAATTTATATTTTATGTATATATTGTGAGATTACCACCATAAGATTAGTTAACCTATCCTTGACCAAACACAAGGCAGCTTTTAAATATATATTTTATTTAAAGGAGTAAAATCATATTCTTGAAGTGATATAATTATTATTCAAGGAATGTAGGAAGTTCATCTTAGATATCTTCATTTTAAACCTGCTCTTTAAATTTTTAACTTGCTTTTAAAAATCCTAAACCTATTTTTTTTTAATTTTTATTTGAGAGAGAGAGAGAGAGAGAGAGAGAGAATATTAAGTTGGCTCCATGCTCAGCACAGAGCCTGACACGGCCTCAATACCACAACTGTCACATCATGACCTGGGCCAAAATCAAGAGTCAGATGCTCAACTGACTGAGCCACCCAGACATGCTCCAAATGCTAAATATACTTTTTAAATATACATTTTAATTTTAAATATGCTTCCTTTTTCTATTAGAATTATTGGTAGAAATGTGTGTTTCCATCTTAACAAGAAAACACTATGTCTTAATTTCAACAGCCAAGTATTAGAGACAAAAAATAGGAAAGAACAGGAAATCTGCCCATGAAATACATTCAGATGGTTCACTTAATAAGTAAGGGACAAGGGCAGTTTTAGTGCCAAATGCAACTTGTACTTAAATCACACAAGTATGTTATTCAGTTACTATCTCTTCTCGCTTTTCCTCAATCTAAAAAGGAAGTTATACCCTAATGTATTTATTTTGCCTGGGGGAAAATAATAATACCAATGCTCTGACCACTCAAACACTCCTAGATATTTTAAAGTGTTGGGGCGCCTGGGTGGCTTAGTCGGTTAAGCGTCTGAATTTGGCTCAGGTCAAGATCTCATGGTTTGCGGGTTTGAGCCCCGCATCGGGTTCTGTGCTGGCAGCTCAGATCCCGGTTCGGATCCTTTGTTCCCCTCTCTCCCTCTGCTCTTCACCCACTTGTGCTTGTGCTCACTCTTTCACAAAAATAAACATTAAAAATAGTGTTAACAAGGGAACTACAATGAGTCGACTCTTTTATTTCTGAAAATTAAAAGGAAAAATAAACGGAGACAGTTCTGTATATTGAACTTCAGTTTTATAACATACTTGATATCTGATTGTGACATGATACTTACCTATTATAGATAATTTTTGCTCATATATGTCCGTGTAATTCCCTGTTCTCTATCAAACATTTATATACTAATTTTGAATCTGACGTACATTGAATATTTGTGTGCTGTTAGTTCACAGAAACTTTTCAAGTTCTGTATTGGGAGAAATCTAAAACCCTACACCATAGAATCCATTTGTTTTTTTAGATGTTGAGAGATGGGTCAAAACTTAAATATTTTGAAATTGATGATATTTTGTAATATTCAAAATATCTTCAAAATATTGTGAAACCTAGTGTGAGAACCCACATACCTGCTGGAGGTGTTTCATGGTGGTCTGATGGCTGGCTAGGTTGGCTTCTCCCTACTTCATTCACTGCGATGACCCTGAACTGATACCTCACATATGGAGCCAAAGATAATATGACTGTTGTTTCTTTTCCTTGGACTCTAGCCAGTTCCTCCCATCTTCCAGGTTCCTCCTTGTTTCCTTCAAATTCAACAATGTACTCTGGCAGTAGAAGCACAAGAAAAAATAAAATGTGAGAATGGAGTTAGTATGTTCAAGTTATACTAACACTTACATATAATATAAAAAGTCTGAAAGGATGGGGAGCCTGAGTGGCTCAGTCTCTTGAGCACCTGACACTTGATTTGGGCTCAGGTCATGATTTCACGGTTCATGGGTTAGAGTCCTGGGTGGAGCCCTACACTGACAGTGACAACCCTGTTTAGGATGCTCTCTCTTCCTCTCTCTCCCTCTGCCCCTCCTCAGCTTGTGCACATGTGTGTGAACTCCCTCTCTCTCAAAATAAATAAGTAAATAAACATAAAAAATGTTTGAAAGGATATTTTAAGAAGGATAATCTAGAACTGTGGGAGAAAAAAAATGGCCTTAATATGAATTGTGGCTCAGGAGCGTCAGGCACATAGTTATCCCAAGAGCTCCCTACCACTAATATGGCTATTGTGATCGTTTCCGGCGTCCCACGTCAGCCGAACACTCCGGTTCTGTCTTTCAGACAAGTGTAGGTTTTCTGGTGGATCCGGAACATCTAATTAACAACAAAAAAATAAAGGTAAGGAGAATGCAGACGGTGGCTCTGTCTACCCAGTTCCCTCCCTGAGGCATACTGCCAGCCACGTGTGTTTCTCTCCGGGCCCAGGTCTCCACACCCAATTGTCCACATCTCAGCAGCTCTTCTGGTTCCGCTTCAAACGCAGCTTCCTGCACGTGTATTCCCTAGTGTAAGTGCTCTCTCCCTTCCCTCTGATGCCACTTCTCAAAGGGCATCTTTGACCATGGGCATCAACATTCTTTCAGGAGTAGTTATTAACAATGAGGATTTATTTCTAGGCCGTCCCTCTGGCTTACTGACGGAGCTGGGCCCAGGAATCTGCATTTCTAAACAGTTGCCCTGGGTTACAGTTATGCACAATTTTGAGAAACATAATCTTTCTCAAGTGGATCAGTATCTTCCCGCTCATACACTTTTTAGGTGTCTGATTGATTTCCTTCTTATGACAGATCTTCAAGAGTAGTAGGGACTGTATTTTATTAATATTTGCATCACCCACAGTGCTTTGCACATAAATGCTTTGTGACTAAAGGAATAAGTGAAAGTATATTATCACTTCAATCATGCATGTAATTACCATATTAGAGCAATAAAATTAGGTCCTATGACGAGAGGAAAATAAGATAAAAAAACATGAACTCAGGCTTTCTTTTCTGCATGCTCTGGATTTTTACTGTAATTTCTAACAATGAATTATCAGTACATAACAACAAGTTTTATAGTCTTTTGGCCTAAAGTTCTGAAAAAGAGTAGGAAGACTGTTTTTATTGGAAGAGAAAAATTTGGCAGCGATAAATGTGTCAGAAACTAGAAAATTGAGTAGGTGATGACTTTTTTTTAACTTTTAAAATTCATTTAAATTCCAGTTAGTTAACATACAGTGTAAAAGTAGCTACAGGTGTATTATTTAGTGACCCCGCACTGCCACACATCACCCAGTGCTCATCACAAAATGCACTCCTTAGTTCCTCACCTATTCCACCCCTCTTCCTCCCCACCTCCCTTCTAGTAACCATCAGTTTGCCCTCTATAGTTAAACGTCTGTTTCTTGGTTTGCCTCTCTCGCTTTTTTCCCTCTTTGCTCATTTGTTTTGTTTCTTAAATTCCATATGCGAGTGAAATCATATGATACTTGTCTTTCTCTGACTGATTTTGCTCAGCTTAATACTCTCTGGCTCCACCTATGTCATTCCAAAAGGCAAGATTTCATTCCTTTTTATTGCTGGTAATATTCCATTGTGTACACACACACACACACACACACACATCCCACATCTACTTTATCCATTCATCAATCAATGGATACTTGGACTTTTTCTGTAATTTGACTATTACAGATAATGCTGCTATAAATATTGGAGTGCATGTATCCCTTTGGATGGGATTGTATTTTGTATTTTGGTGGTAAATAGGTAGTAGTGTAACTGCTGGATTATAGGGTAGTTCTACTTTTAGCTTTGTGAAGGATCTCCATACTGTTTTCCACAGTGGCTGTACCAGTTTGCATTCCCACCAACAGTGTAAGAGAGTTCCCCTTTTTCCACATCTTCACCAGTACCTGTCATGTCCTGTGTTATTAATTTTAGCCATTCCAACAGGTGTGAGGTGACATCTCATTGTAGTTTTGATTTGCATTTCTCGAATGATAAGAGATGTTGAGCATCATTTCATATGTCTATTGGCCACCTGGATGTCTTCTTTAGAAAAATGTCTATTTGTGTCTTCTGCCCATTTTTCATTAGAGTATTCATTTTTTGGTTGTTGAGTTTTATAAGTTCTTTAGAGATTTTGGTACCAAGAGTAGGCGATGACTTTGAGTCTAAGTCATTTCCATGACTTAGAGGCCATGGAAATGTTTATCAAAATAAGAAAACAGTAAAACAAAACAAAAAACTGAACTTATCCCTAATAGTTTTTACTTTCAAAATTTGGTTTAATTCTCTCTTGTACCCAGGGACATTTGGTTTTTCTCAGAGGAGATGATTAAGTAATATCTCATAGGACCTTCCCATGGGCTCCTTATTCCCCAATTGGGAAGCAACAATCTGTTGCCACTGCTGAGTATTCACCAACTGCTGGAAATTTACACTGGCAAAGAAAAACATTGGCTTTGATTCAAAAGATACTTTTATTTTAAAAACATGGTTGGTGACTCTGCACAAACTTCAAGGACTTAAATAAGAAATGATTTCCTCAACAGGCTTCTGATCTGTGAGCTCAGAGAATTTACATTTATCTTCAGCACTTATTAAAAGCTCACTCATTTTTCAGTTACCTAAAGCAACCAATACAGATTGTAGAATCTGACATTAAAATCTGCTCTTTCCAAGAATTATATGGAACTAGAAATGATGGAGTGCAGTTGATACTTAAAAAGACTGATACACTTAAAGGACAGTGATGCCAAGAACAGTTACTTTTAATTGAAACAGGTCAAGCATATGTTTTCAAAAATTATTTTCTGGGGAAAAGAGGTTTCTTTAAATTACACAGGGATCTCTTCCTTACTATCAGGTAGTGAGATATGCTTCTTTAGACCAGGGACTGGCTTCAAAAATTAGAAGGTGAATTCCAAGAAGTGGTTAAGAAAATGTAATGTGTGTCAGAGAATATTTTTAAATTATTTTTATTCTTGGAAAATTGGTAAAAACTTCCTATGTAAGTATTACATGTGATCACAGCAACTCAAAAGATCAAAATCTAATGGTTTGGGAACACAGTAGCCTAGTCACATGACTTATATTTTACAAGGAACTTTGGACAGTGTGCAGTGTGGACGGCATCCCAACCCCTTAGCTGGCTCCATTGCTGAAGACACGTAGGGACAAAGTCCAGGGATTCTAAGACTTTCTCCTACACTTGTGGTGCCTGGGATAAACTCCACTTTACCTGATACTCAACTATTTTATCTGATGACTCACTAGTGGAGTAGTTACGAGAGGGTTGAACCTTTCTGTTTCTAATCCCCTGAAGTAGCTAAATTCCTATGACCAAACATCTCACCTAAAGGTACATTCTACTGAACCAAGTCCATACCCTCTACCACCTAGAAACTCCTGTGGGTGTGGGTGTGTGTGTGTGTGTGTGTGTGCGCGCGCGTGTATAGAACCCAGTTCAGTGACCATTTGCTTCGTTTGAACGTGGTTGTCATTAATTTCCCTTGAAATATAGTGGCCGTTTGCTTGACTTTAAAAGATCCAGCCTATTTAGTCATTTTTCACATCCTACCTCCAAAGAAACAGACTTATTTCCTCTCACTCTGTACCCTCTGTTAGCAATCTACCTGTGGATCCCAATAACACAGAGCTAAAGATACAAATGTCTGTTACTAATAATGATTAATCTACACATCTAATAAAGGAGTTTAGGCAAAATCAAACACTTTAAAGGAATAACAGCAAACTGAAAGAAAGACTAAATGGAGCCCAGAGAGGGAAAAAATTATTAGAGAAAACTATTTAAAAAAAGGGGGGGGGCGGTCTCTATCAGTCAGGGTCCCAGCAGAAATTCAATAGTTTACACAGTTTGGATAGTGCCAAGAGTTTTTAGAAAAAAAACTCTTTCAAAAGATACAGGCAGAATATCTGGGGTGGGCAGTGGAGGAAGCAGTTAATAGAATCTTATCAGAGAGGATTTTGTGGAGAGAGCCTCCCTGGGAGGAATCAATGACGCTAGACACAGCCTGCAGGGAGGGAATACGGAGACTAAACACACCCACCCTCGGCTATTGTCAGGGCTTCCCATTGACTGAAAAAAAATGGAAGTTTGGGGGTAAATGGCTTGCTGATGTTATCCATATAAGTTAGGTTTCCATATCCGATAGATTGTGGGGAGTGAATCTGGCAAGGAAACTGGAAGAGAAAAGGTCTAAAAGATGGTTCAAGAGCTAATGGTGGTTTAAGAAATGCACTTGAATGTTCTAAGAGCTTTAACAACTGGTGATTGCCGAGTAATTGTGGTGATTACACTAGTGAAGTATGTACATTCTTTTCCAATTAGTATTATCATAAAAAAAAATAATCAAAAGCATTCCTTTACGGAACTCTTCAAGTTCCCCAACAGGCTTCCTCGAACCCTGAGAGCTTAGTCAATGCCCTTGGTTTAGGGCATGACCACGGAGCCACCACCAGGGGACCCCCAGCATGATCCCTCCACAAAACCCATCCGTTCCTCAGCTGTATTTCTCTGCATGCTATGAAAGGGCAGCTCAAATGCCCTGACAACTCAAGCATGCTTCAGTTTTCTTTCTGCTGATAGCATCGCCGACCTCCCACTGCTATCGGCAACATTACCCATGCAGGGAAAAGAAATTAAGCATTAATTAACTTCTTCAAAGCCACAAGAAAGCCATTTGAAAGTGGAGGTACTATTTAAATGAAAACTTCAAACTAACAGTATATGTACAGAGGTTCCAGTAATTGTGGATTTAATGGTCTAAGAACAATGGAATTTGAAGTGTAATAGGAAAGAAATGAACAGACATTTCTCATTAGTAGTGCACTTACCGAGGATGGTTACTTGAGTTACATCAGCAACACTATCCAGTGCAGTTTGAGCTGAACAGGAGTAAATACCTTGGTCCTCTGAGGTGACATTAGATACGGTCAAATTAGCTCCATCGATAATTATCCTACCAGGAAAAAAAAAAAAATGAATATATGACGAGGATGAGAACAACAGAAACAGCAGAAATATATATTCAAAAATATATAGGAAAAAAATCCAAGGAGGAATTAAAACACACACACACACACACACACACACACACACCCCTTCACATAATGCAGGTTTTATTAGAGAGTACCACAGTTGAAGAGTTGAAGAGCATGCACAACTGTCTACACAGCCATGAAAGGGATCAGTTATTTTTCTTTTGCTTTAGTTACCAACTCGAACCATCTGTGATGCATAGGTCAGCAACAGAATTGTGTTGCCTGGTGTTTCTGAAGAGGGTAGTATTCATTATAATAGTTAAGATACATCTGAATAATTCTTAAGGTTTGTTAAGGGAATCACCTCCACAGGATCAACTGGAGTGCTTCTTCCAAAGGGACATTCCTGAATCACACCCCAGATCTACGGAGTCAGACCCTCTGACACAGAGTCTGACCAAGTTGCCTTCTCTCCACCCCTCCACTTCACTGGCAAGATGCACATCTGATAGATCAGAAAACAAGTAAAGTAGGTAATCTATTTGAACAGTAGAGGGCAGACGAGCGCTTCTTTTTGCATGTCGTTTGCAGCTAGCTTTTTATCATTCGCCCTGTTTTGCCAATTTGTAATCCCGTTTACTACACTGAAATTTCCTTACTATAAATTACACCATTTACCCTATACCTATGTACTGTCAACTGTTTAAGCACTTTTAGAAAAATCGAGTTCCACTAAGTCTGGAATATATTTAAAGCAGTTTGCTACTTAGTTGAGATAAATGATGTGTTGGCACAGAAGGAGAGAAACTCTTATATAATTGACATTTCTTTTTTCTTTTTGAGAAAAGGGGGCACAAGTGAGGGAGGAGCAGAAAGAGAGGGAGAGAGAAGTGGGGCTCATCAGAAGCGGAGTTTGTGTTCACCCAAAGCAGGGCTAATTAAACGTTTCTGATATAAAACTCATTTAACCTCTTTCTAGATAAAAGCCTCTGGCCCCCAGCCTACCAGTAAGGAGAAGGTAGCCCAGCAGAAGGTGAGAGACAGAAGCTTACTAATGGTTCTCTAGAAATTTGGCAGAGACCTGTGATCTCTGCTCCCTGCTAGATGTCCATGTGTGCCCCTGGCCCCAGTCACCCCCAACAGCAAGAGTTATTCCCAGCCTTCTCCACTCCAGGGATCTCTTCTAAGAAATCCTAGCTGAGGTTACTGTTGCTCACCCCTCCCCTAGGGAAAACTAGTAGAACCTCTGTGTCACTGGGTTAGTTTACTAAGACGGCCAGAGGGTCATTTGAGTGTCAGCCCCAGCATCCCGCAGAACCAAGTAAATTGGGCTGCACAGAGGATGGCTGGAGATTCTGGGATCAGGGCCTAAATATGCAGGGCCCATCACCCACAAGACACGAGTCTCTGACTCCCTTCATTGTTGTAGCCCGGTGGGCATATGGAAGATCCCAGGAAACTAGGCAGAGGTGACGAAAGAAGGAACATATGGGGAGATCTGAGCAGTTGATAGATCGACTAAGACTGAACCTAAGGGTGAAGATCTCTGTCTCAATGTGTAGTCTCCTAGGTCAATAATTAATCTCCTCAGGTTACAGTGACAACAGTTGCAATACATATGCTCCTTTCTATGAACTCTTATGTTTATGGGAAGGATGAGACAGAATTAATTACGTACCTAGCTGAGACCAATGTCCCCGCATGCAGGTAGTTGTAAGCACATACATAAGCGTGCACGCGTGCACGTGCACACACACACACACACACACACACACACACACACCCCAATAGGGGCCAAGCAGGTCAGAGAAATGAGATAAGCTAAATGTCTGGAGAAATTAGTACAAATCATGATCGCTAAATTGGACTGAGTATTTACTAAGTGCTTGGAATGTTAACTCCTAATAACCCCATGGAGGTAACTTAGAATATAAAGTTAAGGCACGGTGAAGTTAGAGAGCTTGTCTAAAGTCACAGACACAATAAGGGACCGAGAGGGGATTTAAATCCAGGCTGCTGGACTCCAGAGTCCACGCTTTTAATCACCACACTGCCGCAGTCTCGCCAAAGGAATGCATGTCCTGTCTTCAGATTTACTTTTTCAGAATGACAAATAACAACATAAAACTGCAGGGGAGGTTTGGCTAAAAGTGGTCTATTTTAAACCCCTAATTAGTCACAATGCAAAAGTTGGACAGTTAACCTCTATATGCTTTCGAAAGCTAGTGTAGGCGTTCAGTAGATACTGATTCTCTTCTCTGATGTACTCAATATTGTCGGATGCTGTTCAGCATCTATTCACATCTCTTTCTAGAGTCTCTCTTCTATATATTTTTTTCTGTATTGTCTACACAGAGATTAAAATGTTTAGAAGTGCCACTGTCGATACTTTATAACTAGAAGGATTGTAGGCAAGATTTAGGTTCTGTCAATGAGGTAGACACATCTGAGTTTGGGATGGAAAGGGGTTGATGGGTAGTGCCTCCTCTGGGCCCCTGTGAACATCCAGGGACTCTGGCCGAGCCGGAAGCTGGCAGTGGTTGATGTCACTGCCAGCACCAGTGGGGTGGGATGAGGCAGCTGGGAGGAGCAGCAGTTTTCAGACATCTGGCTTACAGCCGCACTTCTATGTGACGAAGAACCCGAGTTTAGTAAGCAGTTCCTGTTAGGCCCATCTCCTCCAGTCTTCCCAGTGGTCTGGTAAGCACCCATACTCATGTGGTACATCTGTCTCACAAATCTGGCATGGGGTCTATCTCATGCACTAACAGCAAGGTACACATTCTATTAAAAGTCAGTAGCAAAAAGAAGATAACTATGTGAGAGAAAAATCAAACAGTGCACCATATCCCCTTTTAAATACTGCCTTGATGCAAAGACTTTGGGGACCCTGGGTGGTGCAGTCAACTAAGTGTCCAGCTTCAGCTCATGTCATGATCTCACGTGCATGAGTTCGAGCCAGCATGGCTTCTGCTGTCAGCACACAGCCTGCTTCGGGGCCTTTGTCTCCCTCTCTCTCTGCCCCTCCTCCACCCACATGAGCGCATGCTCTCTCTCTCAAAAAAAAACATTAAAAATAAATAAATAAATAAATAAATAAATAAATAAATAAATAAATACTGCCTTGAAGACTGAAATGTATTGATCAGTTTTTGTATTTTAATTTGGTGTAAATAATTTTTCAACTATTGTTTTTCAAGTGCTATAAAAGTATGTACCTACCTGCCGTCCTCTGTGGCATTAATTTCAAAGGCTTCTCCATTTTTACTCCAGGACAACTTCAAACTGTGCTTTAAATGCGGGTCACACTTGCTCTCACAATGTAATTCAAGTGTATGCAGTTTGGGGACACGAGGGTTCTTAGGAGAAACTTGAAGTTTTGTAGCATCTGTTTTTACCGAACAAAGACACTAGTTAGAACCATAAATCACAGCTTACTTCGTAATCAAGTGCCTGCAATTTAATCAACCAAAATTGTCAATGTAATAGTCACATCTTCGTGCAATGATTCCTCACACTATAATTTCTTAACATCATATTTCATTACTATTTTCTTTCCATCAGGCCTGGACATCTGAGAAATTACAGTGGAAGTACTAATTAATATCTTATAAATTCCCCTTATGACTTCTTGGGCAAAAGGAGTAAGAAGAATGTGAGCAAATAAATGTCTCTAGATGTTGAAAAAATATGATTTCTCTTTCTAGTGCTTTTGGACATGTGATCAAACCACTGTAAGGGGAAAAAAAGGAAATTAGTTGATTTTCTATTAATGTGTTTATGAATAATTCAGAAACCAGAGGTTAAATGGTAAAGCCCATACATGGGTGATGTATCAGCATGAAGGTGAGAAATTAGAACAGAGCCTTGTGAAGAAGGGGGTGTGTCTGTTTTGTTACAAGAAATATCCCCACAGCCCAGAAGCAATGCTGTACACAGCAGGCACTCAACATATATTTGTTGAATTTTTTGTTGAGTGATTTTAAAGTATTAATGGTATCAGCAATATGAAGCTCAAAAATGTAGCTTCAAAATCAAATATATCAACTAAATTAAATTCAAATTGAAATCAAATAAATTAAAAATAATCCTATTTGGATGTCTTGAAAACATTTGCTCATTATGACTGTTTCAAAGCATGTGATCCCAGAGGCATCTGGGTGGTTTAGTTGGTTATATGTCTGACTCTTGATTTTGGCTCAGGTCATGATCTCACCGTGGTGAGGTCAAACCCCATTTGGGCTTAGCACTGGGCGTGGAGCCTGCTTAGGATTCTCCCTCTCCCTCTGCCCCTAATTGCACTCTCTCTTTCTGTTAAAAAGAAAAAACAAACATAAATAAATAAAAGCCCACTCAATTAAAAAAATATATATACATATATGATCCTTACTCTTAGAGGCCATACTAAAGGTTCTTTATGCTGCTGTGGCATTTGGTGACCCTCTCAGAGGCCAAATCTCATGAGCTGATCCCCAATTCCACAATTATGTTTTAACATTTGCTATCTACATGATACTCCAGGAGCTGATTAAAAACTGAAAGTGATAAAACAATTTGATTATTTGGTATCTGACAGGAAACTTGAAGAGATTATTCAATGGAATTTAATTAAAAATTAATTATTAAACACCTACTCCTATTTTTAAATTAAAAGTCAGAAATCCAGTGAATAATAACAGATACTACCTTATAAGCACTTATTCTGTTTACCGGAACTCTGCAATAAAGTTCACACAACACTTTATAATTATAATAATTGTAAAGGTATCAATATTTTCACCTTACAGGGAACATAAGGCTAAAATGAAATTAAGCAGCAACAAAGTTTACTAACTCGTAAGGGCTTTGAGCTGGAATTTGAACCTCTATTGGGCAGAGACCAAAGCTCTTGTTTCAATCAGTATGTTAGACGGCCTCTTACTCAATTCTACTCTCAACATTTCTTTTTTATATGCAAAATTGTGTTCTTATATACCACTGACAAGATTCCTATATATTCCTTACATATAGAGTGGATGTTCAGAGCAGACAAAAAGTTCATGACCTCATCCATCCTTTTGTCAATGAGCAGTTCTGAGGTCCACTTTGCGCCAAGTGCTATGTTGGGCAAGAGGAATGTGAAGGTTCATTTGGATTTCAGGCTTCCCTCTCCTTGACTTTGAATTTGGCTGAGTTGTTAAATTCTGATACAGGCTGGTTTTATGAAGTCTAAAAAACTCATCTTCACTGACTTCACAAGGGCATTTTGAGAATTGTATATGATACTTAAATATGTGGGAAGACTCAGAGTGAAGCAGACATAGTAGAACAATATTTACATGCTTTAAAAATACAATCCACGGGGTTGGAATGTTGGATAACTTAGGGTGCAAAAAGAAACAGATACTGTGAGAGAATATAAGACAGAAGAAAAACAACGAAGGAAGGGTATGTGGGAGCAGAGAGAGAGAACTATAAAGAGATCATTAAAAACAGATGATTGAACAACTACACCCTGTCATCCAAGCAGCAGTAATGGTAGGTTTTGATGGTGCGCCACAAGAAACAGATCCGCCCTACAATTACTGTAGGATCTTCCTATTATGTTTTCCTGAAAAGAATTTTCTGAGCAATTTTAAAATCAAAATATTAGTGAAACCCTGGATGTTGTTTTGAAGAGACAATAAACACAAAGGTATTTATGATGCAAAAAGAAGATTTTGTCAAACCCTTCCCATTCTATCATGCTCCAGTCTTTATGACGCTGAACTTTTAGGAGTGCATGAAAGTTTTAGCTCAAGGTGTTGATTGCTGATGCTGTTGAGTTGGTTATTGAAATAAAATGGTTCTAGAAATATCCCCAAGTAGGGCATTTAAAAATCTTGCCATCATCCCCCAAACACTTAAGTCCCTCTTAAAATTAAAAAAAGATACGGACATGTTATCAGCATTTCCTATGATTTTAGTGGTGGTCTTTTAGATGAAACACATCCTGGGAGTTTCGAAATACAGTCTAAAAACATTAATAGGCACTCAAACTTATATTGTCTCATTTGGGAAAATGAAGACAAACTGAACCCATTTGAGAACACATGCAAAGCAAAAACAAAATAAAAGTACTTCTGATATCCAAAGTGGCTGTCACTGCAGTTTTTCCTTTAGCATTTTCCACCCAACAAGAGTATGAGCCAGCATCATCTTCTGTGGTTTTGTTAATCTGCAATGTACCATTTTCATGGATATGGTACCGTCTACCTTCAAGAGGTTTTGCTTCTTCCACCTTCTGCCTAAGAACAGAGAAACATAAATCATTTGAGATGTGACAGTACTGTAAACTCTTTTTCGCATAAATGATTTGAGATGTGACAGTACTGTAAACCCTTTTTTGAAATGAGTTGCTGATGTTATTTAAGCTTAGCCCTTCCAGGAGCTCAGCAGACCTTATGTTCCATTGGGATTTATATTTTCCCCAAAATGGGTCCTATCCTGGGTGTATATCATACCTGTCCAAACAGCCAAATAGTCTAGAGGAAATCCTGGTCCAGGTTCTAGGCTTCTGCTATATTTCTCAAAGCTGTAAGGACTGTTTTGCATCTGTCTTCACAGCTTAATAAAGATTTTCTGGCTTATTGATGGCGAACTCTTTAGTTAATGATTGCTTTAGGGTACAAAATGGGAAAGCTAGTAATTGAAGGAGATAATGAACCTTCTGAACCTCCTGCCATGGGGGGGGGGGGGCATTGGTCATTCAGAAATATTATAGGCCACGAAGTAGTTCCTATCCTGTGGACATGGATTACATTTACCCTTATCATCCCAGAGCCATTTTCTCCTTCGTTCATCCATTTTCTAAGCATTTGCTGCCAAAACTTGATTTATCCAGTACATTTCACTATCAGAGGCTGCTGAAGCAAAAACATTCAAAGGGTAAACTCTGCCTGCTGTTCACAAAAGACTGTTCAGAGCTAAGAATAGGGGAAAGCCAGTGAGGGACAGAGGCAAAATGTAAGGGTTTCCAAAAACTCAGCACTCAAGATAAATCATGTTTTAATGGATTATTTTTAAAAATAAAAATAATGCAAAAAATACAATGTTTAATTATTTTAAGTTTATTTATTTGTTTCGTGAGGGGGGATGGGGGAAGGGCAGAGAGTAGAGGGAAAGAGAGAGAGAATCCCAAGCACACTGATAGTGTGGAGTCCGATGCAGGGCTCGATCTCACAAACCACAAAATCATGACCTGACCCAAAATCAAGAGTCAGATGCTTAATTGACTAAGTCACCCAGGTGCCCCAAAATACTCAATTTTTAAAGAAGGATCTGACCCTGCAATTGCATGACCCTGCCTCCCCATCTTCACTTTAGTCTTGGCCTTGCAGAGCAATGACAGACTTATTTGAGAACAGTTAATACAAGTTTTTTTTCTGGTGAAGTAATAAATATGGCAGATTCACACAGATGTTTGGACTTATTCTTTTTTTTTTTTTTTTTTTGAGAGAGAGAGAGAGAGACAGCGTGAGCAGAGGAGGGTCAGAGAGAGAGAGGGAGTTACAGAATCTGAAGACAAGCTTCCAGGCTCTGAGCTAGCTGTCAGCACAGAGCCCCACACAGGGCTTGAACCCATGAACCGTGAAATCATGACCTGAGCCAAAGTCAGAGGCTTAACCGAATGAGCCACCCAGGTGCCCCTGAAATTGAATTTAAAATACATGTTGGAAGAGTTTTTAGGGTATGTGTTTGGAATCAAATGTAGGCTTAGATAATTATTTAGAAAATACCCAAATATGACACAAAAGCACAGACAACTCCAGACAACATGGGTTTGAACTGTGTGTGTCTACTTATATATAGATTTTTTTTCAGTAACTCTATTGGACAAATTTTTGGAAATATGCAACAATTAAAAAAATCTCACAAACTGTGTACCCCAGAAATATGGAAAAAACATTTAAGAAAATGTTAGCTATTAGTGTAAGTATGTAGTATGTAATACATATAATGTACAAAATGTGTGTTAATCAACTGTTTATGTTATGCATGAGGCTTCCAGTCAACAGCAGGATATTAATAGCTGAGTTTTGGGGGAGACAAAAGTTATATACAGATTTTCAAATGCATGGGGATTGGCCCCTAACCTCCACAATGTCCAAGAGTCAGCTATAATACATGACTTCTGAGATACCCAAAATGAAAAACCAAGTCTATCTCTATAAAATTATCTCAGTAATCATTCAGTTCTTCACTTTCCTTTGTAAGCAGAAATGGCTCTCCCTAATCTCCCCACCTGACAAAATCCTACACATCTAGTCAATGATTCCAGGAGAGGTAGGTAATTAAGTTTACTATCTTATTTCTCAGCGGCACTGGATACACGGAACAAGAGCATGTCAAGTGATGGATGAAGACACAATGCATGAAATCTGCCACGGACAGTCTCTTAAGAAAACCTTGTACCAGCTTACCAGGACACTATGGCCTCAGGTGAAGCAAAGTACTCGCAGTGTAAGAAAGCACTGTACCCAACCACTGTGGCATAGTTTTCTTCATCTTCAGTTTGTATCAGGGGACGGACATCTATTTGAAAATAACATAAATACAGTTGTAAATGCTCGTGTAAGAAATAATACACACAAATTAAAAAGTTCTATATCCTAGTCACATTAATAAAAATTGGAAACTGAATAATATGGTATATGGTCTTGAATAAGAAAAATATCCAAATTCAATATGTTTTGAAAGTATTATTTTAGTAGGAAGGCTAATGTTCATATGTTAGATGAAAGGTACTTTGATGTTTCCCCCCATGTTTTGTGTGTTGGGAATTCAGTCCACTTGTGTGTATGATCTTGAGCATCTTCCTTTAGGAAATAGCAGGTAAACGGTATGCTCCCAGACTGTTACATACCTACAACATCAATATTGGCATTGGCAAGGATCGTTCCATGGGCATTCGAGGCTTCACACTGGTACACAGCAGTATGATTTGGTTGTAGGTTGGTAAAACTGATTTCCCCAGGGGAGACAACATCACCAGCAAATGGATTTTCTACAAGAGATTAAAGAATGTCAGTTTGATAAAAAATGGGCCATAAAATATTTATACACCATTTATTAAATGTGTCACACAGTATTTATATTTTAAGACCAGTTTAGGGTGAATAATAGTTCACTGAAGCCAAGTTTCAGAATTTCTTAGCAACAACCATGGATCTTTTCTTTCCTGTCCCTTCTCCAATTTCAATCTTCCACCAAATTAATATTTATTGCTAAAATATATGTTGATCTCAAGCTCAGTACCTCTCCATATCCATACCCATAAATAAAATTTCCATTTGGCATTCAAGTCCCACTATAACTAAACCTTATTCATACTTGTAAATTTAGGTCCTAATACTGCCCAGCACATATCACATGATCAACATAGAGTGATCTCCCCAAGCCACCAACATTGGCTCCTGTGTTCCCCCTTTGACACTTTTATTCCTCTATTTGACTTCTCTGCCCCTGTACAATTTTCTTATGTGCACTGTTCATTTCAATTGTCTTGCTTTGCTATTCAGCCACTTTGTATACACAGCTTATATATTTCCTTTTCACAGTAAGACTAAACCCCTCTTGGGATCAGGGGCTAGATTTTCTACTTTTTGGCAATAAATCCTACCTCACTCCTGATCCATGTCTAATTCTGGAAATATCTTTGGGAAATAAGAATATCTAACATTTCTAGTAGATTTCTGAAGGGCCAAAGAACTCTGCTAGAAGTGGCATATGCATTGTCTCATTAACTCTGCTCGGACCCTATGGGATCAGCACTAGTATCATCATTGTGGAAGGAGGTACTGGATTTTGGAGAAGTGAATCCCACCTCCCACAATATTTGGCCACATGCCAAATCTCACAGTCTCACTGTGACAGTACAAACAAGCAATGTAAAGGAAACATATTACCTAGGAATGTTGAGTGAGGGGCACAGATGTTAAGGTTTTTTTAGCTTAAATGACACGACAAGATTACCAGTAAACCTAAATTTTTTCTTATTGTGTCTCTATTTTATAAAATAGTTTTGGTTTGTCGAAAATGTTGAGTATTTGTTTATTAAAATAGAAGACTTTCCATATACATTTTTCCCTCTGACAGTCAGAAATAAATATTTTTTTACACTGGACTATGACTGTCTGTAGGCAGGACCTTGACTGCATTATGCACTGTGTCTCCAGTGCCTGAACAGTAGCTATCACAGAGGAGGCAGTCAGTAAATATTTCCTGAAAGGACTCAAAACCATTTATGTTGGGTGGCATTTCATTCTTAGAAGGTCCCTGTGGTAGGCAGAATAATAGTCCCCGAGAGATCCCCACATTCTAATCTCCATCACTAAAAAAATATTTAACCTTATATAGCAAAAGGGACTTTTCAGAGGTAATTAAGGTTAAGGACCTTGAGATGGAGGGATTACCCTGGATTATCCAAGTGGGCCCAATGTAATTACAAGGCTCTTTAAAATCAGAGAACCTTCCCTGGCTGTGGCCAGACAAAAGGAGATGCCTATCAAAGAGTGGTCAGATATGCAATGATGCTGACTTTGAAAATAGAGAGTATTTGCCAAGGAATGTGGGCTCTCTCTAGGAGCTGGAAAAGATGAGGAAAGGGATTCTCTCCTAGTTCTTCCAGAAAGGAACACAGCATGGCTGACACCTTGATTTCAGCCTCGTGAGGCTTTGTTGGACTTCTAACCTACAGAATTGTAAAACAATACAAATACACTATTTTAAGCCCCTAAATTAGTGATTATTTGTAGAGCAACAGTAGAAAATTGATAGTCCTGCAGGGCCGTTTCTCCCTTGAGGGCTGACATGGAGAAGAGCTCTCCGAAGTTCTTTAAGGCTGCAAAGGCCTGAGTCTCTGAACTGATTCTGCATCCCTATACCTGATACCCAGCTCTACATCTTTCAGAGCTAACCCCATCACTCTCTTTAGATTCCTTGTACCATCTGTCCATGGTTAAGCCCTGAAGCAAACATAGCTTTACAAAAAGAAGAAATGAAACTGTAGCCTCAGGTTTGAGATGACTAACAGCTGAGCTTGGCTTTACACCACCCTCTGGGATGGGTACAGAAGCTGCAGGGTGTTGCTGCATACAAGCCAAGGCTAACAGGAGCTCCCAGGATTCAAGAAAGTCAGGTCTCTATCAGTGTCAACACTAAGTGGGCCGTAAGTTGTCTTTGGTCAGCTCAGTGGGTGATAATGCAATACACTGGGAGCAACCTCAGCCTTGAGACTTTAATCATTTCTGGGTTCCACGTTTAGCTCTAAATTTACTAGGGTTGGGGCACCTGGGTGGCTCAGTTAGTTAAGTGTCCAACTTCTGCTCATGTCATGATCTCATAGTTTACAAGTTTGGGCCCCACATCGGGCTCTGTGCTGATAGCTCAGAGCCTGGAGCCTGCCTCAGATTCTATGTCTCCCTCTCTATGCCCCTCCCCCATTCATGCTCCTTTTCTCTCTCTCAAAAATAAATAAAAACATTAAAAAATTTTTTAAAACCTATAAATTTACTGCGGTTGTGTCCTTAATTAAGTAATGTGACCTCCCTGAGCCCCAGTTGCCACATGTGCAAACGGGAGAATTAAAAAAAAATCTCTTCTGCAGGGCTTATTAGGAGGCTCACAAATATTGGAGGCAAAGCATCTGAAAAAGGTTAAGCCTGTTTTCAATAAAAGTAATCACTTTTTTAAAAGATAATTTATTTAGTTTGAGAGAGACAGAGACAGCATGAGTGGGGGAAGGACAGAGTGAGAGGGAGGGACACAGAATCCCAAGCAGGCTCCAGGCTGCCAGGGCAGAGCCTGACACGGGGCTTGAGCTCATGAAACTGTGATATCATAACCTGAACCAAAACCAAGAGTTGGACACTTATCTGATTGAGCCACTCAGGTGCCCTAAGGGTAATTGTTTTCATGTAATTTTGAAACACTACATATAAAGGATATGGAATTGCTAGAATTATAAGCTCAGAGAGATTTAAGTTCATTCAGTTAGCCCACTGTCATCGAGCATCCCAACCTATAAATGGCTATAACTCATTTGCAGGGGAGCAAGGAGAGTGGTGGTTGACAGCTGTGGAAGGAACACTGAGCTTGGACTCAAGGACGAGGCTTTGGTTTCTACACCTGCCATTATTCAGCTGTTTATTTTCAGCCTTGACCTCCTCAACCATGAACAAACCTACTGGCTCTCCTTTGGAAATACATCCAGAACCTAATCATTACCACTACCAACCTAGCCCTAGGTCCCAGGGTCTTCCAGGCAGCTTCTAACTGGTGTAGTCATACCACTGATTCTCCATTCAGAGGTCAGAAAAGCCCTTTGTCAATAGATTAGATCATGTCATTCTTCTGCTCAAAATCCTCCAAGAGTTGCCCATCTTATTTACAATAGAATCCAAGTCCCCAGATGGGCTTTCAAGTTTAGGTATGATGTGGCCTGGCCCCTGCATCTGCCAATTGATCCTGGTCTGAGCACAGACCACTCACTCAGCTTCAGCTACACTGGACTCCTTGCTTTACATCTACACTCCAAACATATCTGAGGGTCTTTGCACTCACTGACCTCTACTCTGGAAGCTCTTCTACACATGGATGGATGCCCCCTCAACTCTGTCAGATCTTCTATTTAAGGTAAATTACCATGGGAAGCTTCCTAGTATTACCTTAAAATAAAAGGGCCACTCTTGGTCCTGAACTTATATTACACCCATCCCTTACTCAGCTATTTTTTATTTACCACACTTACAGCACAGATTTATGCGCTTATTTGTCTATTGATTGACTCCCCCCACTAGAATGTCAGGTCCACAGGAACAGGGTCAGTTCATTTTATTCACTGCTACCTTCCCAGCATAAGGCCAGTCAGCCCTGGCACAAAGAAGGCATTCAATAAAAATTACTGAATGAAAGAATTGATCTGTTAAATATGAATTATCATACATCCACTAAAAGTATTCATTTGAGGATTCAAAGCAATATATGAATGTCCTTCAGAAACAGCCAAGTGCCATTCAGATATATAGTTTTATGATTTATGTTCCAGATAATCCCTATTTCTTATTTTAGCATCCTTACCATTCTTTAAAAACAATTGTTTTTCTTTCCCTCTGATCTACCTGAAGCCTTATCATTCATTTGTTAGTCTGTTCTCTAAAGAGATGAGGAAATAAAAATCTCAAATTTGAAGATTTCAATAATGAAGGCTAAGGTTTCCCGAGTTCTTGCTATGTGACAACAATATTAGTAAAGTAAATAGTAAAATACTTTAGGAGTGTCCCTGTCCTGAGCATTCTTTGCATGGTGTTTCCTTTAATCCACGTAACAACCCATGAGTTGGTACAATTTTTATGCCCATTTTACTGATGAGGAAGCAGATTTTAAGAGTGTAACAGGCCCAATTACACAACTAGTAAATGATAGAGTGTAGATGCAAACACAGGCATTCTGGCCCCAGAGTTTATAGACTCTCATAATGTTGTTCAGATAAACCAGTGTCCTGGGTGCTTGAACACAATAACTTCATTCCATCACAACCAACCACGATTAGCTCTGTTGTGCTGTGAAAACAAAACAAAACAAAACAAAACAAAAAACTAAAGCTTTGTGAGGGTCAGTAGACAACTCAAGATCATATTCACGGGAAGGTGCACAGCCTAGATGCGACCCCAGGTCTATGAACCACCAGATGTCTACGCTTGATATGATGGGTCCAGGACCAAAAAAAAAAAAAAAAAAAAGAAGCAACATATATATATATCTCAGTGATATAAATGCTCAAAATTAAGCCAATCAGTTGACAAATAAGATTTATTCTATTTGAACAAAGACATTCAAAATGGCAAGAGCTGTAGGTGCAAATTGCAGATTTTTGGACTTCTCAGAGTTCTATGCTGGAACATGGATGGGAGAATAGGGAGAACCAGCCTGTAGCCTTTGTGCATCCCTGCCTTTCCATGCCCAGCTCATTTGGGATGGCTGAGAGTTGACTAGGCAGGGATTTTTCTGGTCTTTTGTACTCCTGGAGCTCAGTCAAGAACATGAAGGGAGCCAGGGATGGAGGCATGTGTACAGGTCTCTTTGGCCCATGAATTTCTCAATGTCTTTGGCAGACATGACCAAAGAATGGCCAGAGCAGGTCCTTATGAAGAACAGAACCCAGGGCCGGGGGTCACTGTTGCTTGGGTCTAAGGGAAGTCCTGACTTTATTACCAGGTTCTCAACCACTAGGTCGCTGCGTTAACTTCTCAGGGAGAAGGAGAGCAATGGGATTTTCTCCTTGAATTCTCATTCTCCTTCAGTCACTTTACTTTTTTAACCTTATTTTTATATATAGTTAATAAAATGACCCAACGAGTACAAATGTTATTTATTGCCTTTCCATAAATGTAAGCATAAATCAAAATGCTGGGAAAGATTCAACTTTGGATTTCCTGCCTAGATCTGTCTTGATGGTCCAGCCACTTTCCAACTCCCATCTTACACATAATCAGGGTGTGGGCCTATCAGCCGTCAGAGCACACCATGGCCTCCAGCACTGCATCACAATTGGTATTTTCACTTACTGTCAATCGGGGAGCCATTGACCCTCCACTTGATTGTGGGCTCAGGCTCTCCTTCTGCCTCACACAACAAGATACCGCTGCTCCCAGTGCTATACACACCACTCTGAGGTTTCTTTGTCCAGCGAGGAGGCTCTGGAAGTAAAGTGAAGAGATCATAAGTGATTTTAACCATGCCAGAAGGTCTGAAAACGTTAAGTCCTGTGTTTCTATGATGCGCCAGCAGATGGCAGACACAATAAAGTGTTTCACACTAGCTCTTTTTTGTAAATGTTCTGTCAGGCAAGGTGGACACAGTTTTCTGTGTTAGAGGGTGTGTGCATGTGTGATGTGTGTGCATAATCTAATATGGACTCTTAGCATGTATAATAAAATTAACATGTATACCATCACTTTGTTCAGCATCACAAGTACCTACCTCATTAACAGAAAGTGAAGGAGGGATAAGCAGATGGTTAAGTTTATTTAGTGCTGGCGACGGCTTATTTTCAAGCTGCAGCAAGGCATCTAAAAAGGCTGATATTTGATACATGTATCTGGAGAATTTTTAAATGAACTTGAAATGTTCAGCATTTATTTTATATATTTCTTAATGACTTTGTAGCATTTATATACCCATACCGATATCAACTATCTATCTTAGAAATGTGAGAAACATTATTTTCCTAGAGATTATTTTTTTGTAACACAGGGAGAAGAAAGCCTAAAAGCAACATTTAGCTTTTTGTCCTGAAAACAATGGAGGAAAAATGTATTTAAATTACTTGCATCTTGGCATGTCCTATTGCTCCAAAATTGTAATTCTAAGTGGTGTTTCAGTGCAGAATGAGACATTTGTCTTTAGTGGAAATATTACTGCCATGTCTTGTCACCTTAAGTATATTAGTATGTCAGGAGTGAATAAAAGATTTAGATTAAAGTGTGGATGGTTTGGATAATTTGATTCCAGAGAAAATTGCACAACACCTGCAGGTAGTCATTTCCATCAAGTGTTGCTTGGTTATTTCCCCCAAGACATTTTTGGATTTCCATTTTTAGTCAAAACAGAACCTCTCTTAAAGATATATATATGCGAAATGAAAAAAAAAAGTTACGTAAACTTCCTTTTTTAAGGGGAAAGAAAAGGATTATGTCAAAAGGAAAAGCCTATAAAGTCATGAAGAAAAACAAAAATATACAAATAACCCTGCAAATTCAAATCCAAGAAAGGGGTGTACCCTATTAATTATATTTAATTATTTAAATATTTAGTATTTAAATTTAATATTAAGTATTTAATTATTTAAAGTAAATATGTGTATTCATAATCTACAATCTGTAAATATTAGTCATTTAAGTCAAAATGCAATAGTCCAAATTATAAACTGTATAAACTGTATATGATTCACAGTTTATAATTTGGACTATTGCATTTTGACTTAAACGACTAATATTTACAGATTGTAGATTATGAATATGATTCTCTAAGGTGTGTGTATACATACGTTTTTTATGTTATTGTTATTTTTTTGTCTTTTCACACAACCACAATAAAATTAGACATTCGGGAAAAAAAATCCAAGAACATGAAAATTTCCATGTTAAAACAGCAAACTAATATTATTGCTTTCAGAGCAAAACTTAAATGTAAAAACATAAATCATAGGGATGTAATAAATATATAGCATGCTGTAGTCAATAATACTGTTTGCACATTTGAAAGCTGCTAAAAGAATAGATCTTAAAAGTTCTCATCACAAGAAAGGGATGTTATTGCTAGTTAATTACTATTTTATTAATTTAGACCACTGATAGGAACCAAGGCCACATTGCTTTACCAACTTTCACTCTGTACTTCCAAGTCCAAGCTCCTCCAACATCTATCCACTGGAGGGTGATACCAAGAGGTTTTATACATTCAATCATCGCTAAACTTTACTTTAACCCTTTTGAACAAACTTTCTTTATAAATGCTCAGGCATTTGTTTGATCCTTCTCAGATAAATACAGAGCCACGGTGGAATCTCACCCTTCCTGTGTCTGCTCTGCTGGCACGAAGAGAACAGACACACGTGGAATAATTACGAGGTGAATTGAAATGATTGATCCCCAAAGACTCCAGTGAAAAAGGCATAGGGGGGAATGAAGGAACATTGGATAGGAGGGAATCACTGACTTCTAGTAATTCAGGGTCTCATCAGGGTCATCATCAACCAGGGTCTTGGTTGAACATATTTAGCTAGTTGCTACTTTGTTCACAAAAGAATGCAGAGTGAGCCTGAGGACACTGGCTATGGATCAGGGTATTTTTGGTGAATGAAGTTAGGCTAGGGACACCCAAGGAGAGAGAACAAACAGATGTTTTCCAAAGCTTAGAACATGTAACTCTATTCCTGAATGGTAAGATTTAGTTGAAAGGCAAAAAAAAAAAAAAAAAACCTCAAGAGAAAGGAAAAACAACCCCACTTAAAATGGAAAACATCACTGAATCCCATTCTTTTATCGATTATCTTAAGATACGTGGTAACTGATGAAAACAACTCATGTTGCAACTTTACTCATTTTGTCATAATTATATATAAAAAAGATGATAATTTACCTATGTTGATAAAAAGTGAGATGCAAATGACTGAAAATTTAGAATATAATAAGCAAGTTAATGAGAAACATTTATCACTGGAAGGAAAATGCAGTAAAATTGGAACTTTGATTCCTATTAAACAACACAGAGCTATTTTCTTAGTAACAGATTCCTACTAAATACCTATATTTTATTAAACCAAAATTGTGAGGTTTGTTAACCTTGGATTTAATTGTAACTTCTCAGAAAAAATAGTTCATTTGAAAACAAGGCTTTCTTAAGTATATCAACGACTGAATTGCATTCCAGTTCATGGTATCTTTTTTAAAATGCAAGACAATTATGGGTATATAATTATATATAAATATTTTCCTATTACACTAAAATTAAAAGTTTTAAATAGTTCAAAAGTTTACAACATGAGAGTGGTGGAAGTTGGTGGGGGTTTATTTTTAAATAATCAGTTGAAATGTGATTATGGTCATATTCTGATTTCTGGATTTAGAATGTTTAGATGTCATTTTAATATATCTCTTTTTATTGAATGCATACTATTTATAGCATAGATATCTAGAAAGGATAACAGTGCCTTATCAAGACATCCTGGTTGTTTTTATTTACTTGTATTAGAGAATTTGAAAATGCACAGTCTTTATATTTAGGATGTTTTAACTTAAATTACAGAATTTGACTGTGGATAGTAATAAAGAAGACATACCACATATACAGAGACTATAATACATGCTTTTACTTAAGCACAAATGGGTGCTTTCAGAATGGACTTGATTTTCAAAATTCACAGTTGCATTGCTTCATGATCATATGGTAATCCTTGTTGCTTAATTTGAGTTTCTAAACAAGAGACCAAAAAAAAAAAAAAACGGAAAGAAGATACAGGAAGGTAGAAGACAACTGAATTAAAGTAAGCTCATCCGTGCGTATGATTAATGAAGGTTGTATTTCTTGGTTTCACACTTAAAAAAGAAAAGAAAAAAATGACTTCTTGAGCCCAGTTTGCTTTTCACTTGGCATGTGTGAAAAGAAACTCCTAAAACATACAACAGAGGGCACATTTAGTAGCTTCTCATTAAGGAGAAAAGATTAAATGTTCCTAATAAAAACATAATTTACATCTCAATAGTGCTAATAGCTGTTTTATGAATAGTGAGGACAATTCGTTCAGGAAACCTATATTCCTTTGGAGTCCTATAGTCAACATTTTGAATTGCATAATTAAGTTTACATCCTTGATTTTTTTTTTCTTTGCAACCCTTGCAATTCTTTTGAAAGCTTCAGTCTTATAGTCAAGAAAACCATGGCCAGATTGTTAAAATATTCAGCTACTGTAGCAATGTTCCAGCCATCTGGAAGGATTTCTAATAGTCAGCAATTTGGAGTAGGAGCATTTAACAACTAGACATGTCTGGTTTGTAGATATGTTTGCACCGGGGCAGGGGTAGGGGGTTACAGAAAAACATCCCTGTTGCGTGCTGTAGCCGATTTATGTAGAAGCATCAAATGAAGAAAAAAGAAAAGCAGCAGCAGCAAATGATGACTAAAAAATATATACATATAAACATCTCAAACTCTTCCTTTCTGAATTTCTTTGTGAATAATTTCAAATCAGAGGAATATATCACTGATGGCAGATGTTGATATTTATGTATTATATTGAGATTTCACTTATATAGGTTTTGCTTCTGTTGATTCAAAGAAAATGATATTCTCATCTTTGGTTTTCCATGCTTCATAACTTCACTAGCCATATACATTGTGGGTGAGGTCTTGGAAACATGGCGTTATTCCAAACAGTAGCTAGACTAAAACAATTATCTTAACGTTTACTTGTAAATGGAATCTGTGTCTAAATCTTCATTTTTTTCTCATTAATTAAAACAGGTAGCTTTTTACTTAGATGTTCCTTGTGCAAATTTAAGGTTTAAGAGGTAAACATTATTGGAATATAAATGGAAATGCTAGAGCATCAGTTCACTAAATGGGACCCTGAAAGAGACAATTCCTTTTACTAGTTAAGCCTTCACAGCACTAAATGAGTACAAATTCAGTAATCAATCCATTAATTTGATCAATTCAGTCAACCAAACCATAGATAAGAGACTTCAGTGTAATTAGACCCATAGAAAACAGGGTGCATCAATTAGCTTCATAAGATGCCCAAATAAACCTTACTTGCAGGGCAGGTACAGCCCCAATATCCACATTGTGTGGCTTCCCCCCTTTTTAAATGATGACATCATGGCCTACTTATTTCTATGAATACAAGAAATAATAGTGAAACCTCTATTGAACAAAAGGCTTGGGTTTACAAAGATGACTTGAATATAATGTGTATTTTGCAACTTTTGATAAAAAATTAATATTCACAGCACCCAGTCTACTCTTTCCCCATAAGTAACATATTGAACATCATGTGAACTCAAGATATGGACCCAAAAAAATGTATTTAGGAAAGAACTAAGATAATTTGTCTAACACCCTCTTTTCTTTGAGGAAGAAAGTGAGGACAGAAAGGCAAAGTAAACTGATCAAGGACACAGCAAGTTAAGCACAGCACTGGGAAACAAACTCCAAGCTTTTTCTCAAGCTCATCGTAATAATTTCTGTCTTTGTACTGCTTACTTCTATGATTTAATATCATGCAGTGTCATATGTATAATAAAAGTTGTGTTGAAGTCGTGTGTTTAATCCCTAACATGAGATCTTTTCTTGCTGTTTGTCCCTTTTACAAGGTTTTGCAGAGTAAATGTCAAATCTGGTTAACTGAAGTATAATATAGTCCAAAACCCACTTTAAAAATAAAAGTTTAAACAGCTTACCTGTTTTAACATATATGCTTTGGAAATACAGGTCCACTACATATAGGAATTCATCTTTTTTTTTTTTAATAGAAGAAAAATAAATCAACATGGGGAATGTACCTTCTACTATAACATGAAAATCATGAGTGGTTGATCCTAAGAAATTGTTGGCTGTGCAGCGATAATTCCCTCTGTTCCAGTAGGAAACATTCTCTATCTTCAAAGTGTTGGTATGATTTTCTTTTGTTTCACTTCCTTTGGGTAAATCACCACCTATTTTGTTCCAGCTGACCTTTGGAGTTGGCCTGCAAAACAGTAAATAAATGATAAACTTTTTTTAAACTGCAAAATTAAGTTCAGAGAGACTCATAGGATACATCACTTAACATATGGCTTTTCTACATGCTCTCAGAGTTCCAGTAAGTGACAATCAGCCTTCCCAGTACACGGACCTGCACACCACCATCAATGCTGAACATCAGATCGGATCAGGTCTCTTTTACTGCAAGCTCCTTTCCTGGTCTACTTCCATGGAAATCATGTTTCTTTTATTAAGAGGGCTAACTATCTATAATAGCTGAACCAGTAAGTAGAAATAAAGGGTGGGTAATTGGATCCACAGAAATATTAAAAGATTTTTTAAAGTTTTTAATATTTGCAAGATATATTGCAGGTGTGAAACCTCCTTGTAGGTGATTTGAAGTGGCTAGAAATAATAGCCCTCCTCCCTGTATGAGTTTGAAAAAACAAGATAAAGTAGGACCCAACAGTAAACAGAGGAAAATGATACCCTCTAAGTCCAAATGAAACTGATGGTGGAGAACATAGCTCAGATGTGATAGCCATAGGTGATGGCTGGACCAAGAATCAGCCTGGTTTAGGGCAAGGTGGGCTTTGCACAGACATGCCTACCCCCAGGTGGCTTTCTTCCTTTACTGGAGAATAGAGAAAAGTGTGTATGAGGAGGATGGGGCGAATGAATCACATCTCCCTTGCATAGAAAGATGAGATGACCCAAGCAAAACAAAACAAAACAAAAAACTCAAAAATCAAACTAAACTAAAACCAAACTGATAATGTGTCATAGATTAAGAGGATAACTCTCTCCACCTTACGGAAGAAAACAGTAGTGGGAATCAAGGCAGCTGGGTTTAAGAAAAATCCCAGTTCAGGAAAACCAGAGAAGCAGAGGATCGGTGCCCTTTATGACTTTTGTGATTTAAAAATTATGTGGAAAACACCAATGGCTGGAGCGCTTTGGTGGTTCAGCCTGATGTTAAGCATCCGATTTCGGCTCAGGTCATGATCTCACGGTTTATGAGTTTGAGCCCTACATCGGGCTCAGTGCTGACAGCTCAGAGCCTGGGGCCTGCTTCAGATTCTGTGTCTCCCTCTCTCTCTGCCCCTCCCCTGCTCACATTCTCTCGGTCTCTCTCTCTCAAAAATAAACAAACATTAAAAAAATTAAAAAAACAGAAGAAAACACTGATGGCTGATATTAACTGATTTTTTAAAATTTCTCCTCTCTGGTTGGGTTATATGACTGGAATAAACTTAATTTTGCTATGTTTATTGATGCTGGTTTTCCTTGCTCTATTTATTTTTATTATGAATAGCTACAAGTTACTGACAGGTTCTAAAGATGGGCATTGTTATCGTCACTTTATCTGTGAAAATTCTATGTATTTATTTATTTGTTTTTTTTGTTTATTTATTTTTATCAGTGAAGATTCTAAAGCTCCAAGAAGTTAATTAATTTACTTCATGTCACTGGGGTAATAAATGACATGTTAGAACTTAAGTTTGTCTAACAATAAACTTGCTCTTTTCATCTCTGTGTTTTATTATATTTATGATTTTTGTATCCCTTTTCGCTTACTAACTGTCTATTCTTGGGATATATGCTTTTAGCTGAACTAAATAGTAGTTAATAACTGAACAATGACCTCATAGTGTTTCTGTCATTTATTTCATTAAAAGAATTCCATTGTTATGCAAAAAATATATAGAAGGTAAAGAGGTAAGTCTCTTAATTTACACACATTTAGTCTCTTCCCCTCCTCCATTCAAGGCTCAAGCCTTTAACCTGCCTTACAGATCTGGAACCACACTTTATATTTGACCAGTCTGAGTACAGGGCACACTTCTGTGGGAAACAGTAATGATGTGCAGACAGGCGGCTGGGAGAGGATATTAGCTGGCGGCTTCCTGAGCACACCACCTAACAGGATGCAGAAACTCAAGTCTCCTAACTGCTTACTCTCCATGCCATCTGTCAAAATGGCAATTCGCCAAATTATAGGCTGCTACGGACCTCAGTTCCTTCAAACCATTTTTTCCATGAGTTCATGCTTTAATAGTGCAAGCATCTCACTTTCTGCAAGATTCTACAGGATCCTCCCTCCTTCCCTCCCTCTCTCCCTCCCTTCTTCCTTCCTTCCTTCCTTCCTTCCTTCCTTCCTTCCTTCCTTCCTTCCTTCCTTCCTTCCTTTCTTCCTTGCCAGTCCTTGAAAACCAGTCTAATCCTTTATACCAATCCCTTGAAAGAACAGAATAAAAATGATTATCTACAAGTAGCAGGTACACGTGAGACCTAATTTATCTGTACAGACATAGCTCTCCTATTCGAAGAATGTCCAGCTATATTCTTGTCAAATTTTTCCTTTCCTTTAAAATTTAAGGAACATTTACTAACAGCATTTCAGCAATAAAATTTTGAGGGAAAATATACTGCTTAATCACCTTTTTAAAAAGGTTTATGTATTTATTTTGAGAGAGAAAGAGAAACACGAGGGGCAGAAAGAGGCAGGGAGAGAGAATCCCACACAGGCTCTGCACTGGCAGCTCAGAGCCCAATGAGGCGCTCCATCTCACCAACCATGAGATCATGACCTGAGCTAAAACCAAGTGTCAGATGCTCAACCGACTGAGATACCCAAGCACCCCTTAATCCCTTTTTATATACAAACATACACTATCTCATACTCTCAAATTTTGTTCCGGTCCTTGTCCAGCAAATTTTTGTTAGTATACTTCCTTGTTCTTCCTACATTTTTATAGTGTAGCACCTTGCAACAGAATCACACCTACCTTAAACTCAAGAATTTGCATGATAGAGAGGGAAGAAAGTGAAGAAACAGTTTGAGACCAATAATCAACAGAGGGAAGCGACAATACCCCCCTCTAATCCTAATGAAGCTTCCACAGGGTGTGAGCGAGATTAACTGGCACCTCCATGTGCACTTTCCACTCAGTGCCTACACTTTTGAATGAGATTCAGTGTCATTTTAACTATTCACAATTCCTGCCTTATTCACAGGATCTATAGGTTCTAACCCCCCTCACACACACACACACAGACACACACACACACACACACACACACACACACATCAGTTTCTTTATGAAAGTTTTCCTGTTTTAATGAATAGTATCAACATTTTCATTATCACTAACCATTTACTGAAATATAGACTACAGGACAGTTCAGCTCATCAGCTTCAGAAACAATGCCATACTTTGTTTCCTCCTTCCTCCACCTCCAACCCAAATTGAACAGAACCGTTCATTTGGTTGAACTGAAATACATTAAATCTAGAGGTAGTTTAGGAGACAACAGGATGGAATTCCAGCTCCTCTTTACACTGAGCTTGAAGAAGTTCATTCAAGCCTCTAGGCTTCATTTACCTAACCTGCAAATGGGAATAATGACTGCCTTGAAATGTGCTGAGCATGAAAGGCGCTAACACATGTCAAGTGCAAACTCCCGGGCCTGCCACATAATGAACAATGTCCTAGTTCTAGTACTTCTGTTACTACAGAACATTATGATTTAAAAACTTCTTTCTTCCACAAAACCCTTGAGTAGCATTTCCATTATTTTGAAAATCCATGCATTTCCCAGTCAAGTCCAGAGGTAAATTATGGCATTTATGGGAAATAAGGAAAAAATAATCACTGAAGTGCTCACGCTGTCCAAAGGTCAACCACGAACACCCTTGAACCCTGAAAGAACTGAACTGCTGCCACTGGAAACACACACGAAGAAGAACAACAGAGCAGGTGGTTACCGTCGTGATCCAATCTAAACCTGGGCTGCCATCTTCGCACATGATACGGAGACCAAACTTCCCGAACAGAGGTCATGCCACAAGGCACCTCTACCTCATTCACCTCAACTACGCGTTGGCAATTTCAAACACATATGCCACCTATATATCTTTGCTAGATGGAAAGACACATGTACAAAGCTGAGGGGCTGCAAAGCTATTAAAATTGTTTTTTTCTTCATAAACCAATTTAAAATCACCCATTCAGGATATACGCTGAATTATGAATGAATCCAATTTTTAAAATTTCGAATCCTAGTTCGCCAACCAGGTGCCCCGCTATAAGAGGCCTTTGACTAAGTATTAAATAAGATGGTCCTTATTTACAGAGACTTAGGATATTTACTCAATAAGTGTAACATTTTCAAGAGATGACCGAGTGAAATTTCCTTAGCTGTTTTTTGGAGGATTTGGAAACATGCGCTGATTTTTCCAATGAGAAGAAACTGAGTTAATTATATTTTTAGGTGCATTCTCTAAAATTACATGATCTGGACCTCCCTGTATGCAAAGGGCAGCAGGGTGAAATAAAAGATAAATAAAGCTCCTTGCAACCTGGAAAGCAATAAGAACCCATAACATACAAGGAGTGGGGCAAAATATGACAGCAGACACAAAAACCTGGCACCCTCAGTAAGAGACTGGCAACTAACAACTTCAAGCTCTGAGGATGGTATCCCCGTACTGACTTAGGTAAGGAGAATGTTGTCATTGTCACCTCCATTCACACTATCACAAACTGACAGAGCAATCTAATTAGAAATCAATCTCAGTCACAGCCTGAAGTCTGTAGAGTGAAGTGCAAATTACTTCCTCCAGAAAAGTAGTAACAGAATTTTTTTAAAGAAATCATTTAAAAATGTGTATGTAGGATTAACTGCTTAACAAAAGCATTATTCTGTGTAGAAATGGATGGACAAAGTCATGAACAGAGGTCAAGTTACTCACAGGCCTTCAGCAAAACACTCAAGCAGCAAGGTGTCCCCTTTGAGGATGGTAATAGAGGACTCACTGCCACTTTCAGGAGGTGGCAACAGCAGTCTGGGTTTTCTTTGCTTGATCGAATTTGCTATAATACAGAAAAGAAAAATCATATATTTATTTTCCAAATGAAGATGGTTAAAATCCTGTGGCACTAAATCTTTCTTAAAACATACTTAAAATATATGTACCTATATGCTCCTATGTATATATACATAGATATATATTTAATATATTGCCATTTAAATAGACTCCATTCTTAGCATGAAGCATGGACTGTCCCTCAGATGCATTAACTTAGTGTAGCACCAAGTTTTAAGGTCATGACTTAACACATACCTTCAAATTTCGCAAGTTCAAGTATGGTTCAAGATAATTAGATTTTTTTTAAAGTTTATTTAGAGAGAGAGAAAGGGAGAGAGCACAAGTGGGGAAGTAGCAAAGACACACACACACACACACACACACAGAATCTGAAGCAGGCTCCAGGCTCTGAGCTGATAGCAGAGAGCCCGATGTGGGGCTTGAACTCACAAATGGTGAGCTGCTTCACAAACGACCTGAGCTGAAGTCCACCACTTAACCCACTGAGCCACCCAGGCACCCTAAAGATAGTTTCTTGATGAATGTCCTTAGAAGTTAACTGAGAGCCTATGAATTTTATATTCTACAGTTTAACCATACCTTACCATGTCTAATGGCTGTGTATGTATTTGAATTTAATGTAGTATGCCAAAGTATTTTATAAGATTCTTGTTATAATATAGCTTCCTTAGCCTTGCTCCCAGAAATTCTGATACAGGAAGTCTATGGAGGACACCATGGATCTATGAAGTTAGCAGGTTCTTTAAGGTGATTCTATTTACAATCTCAGTCCCTCAAAGAACACACTGTTTTAGGGAATGATAAGCAAGCAGTTTCACTAACTATGTATTGAAATGTTCCACTTGTTATATCCTCAAGAATGCTTTTCAAATACAACGGCAAATGAGGACTTTCATTTTCAATGTCATTTTTAACATCATTCCCAAATGTTCTCACAAATTGTTTTTTGTCCATCCAATGTCAATGTGACTTGACATGATGTGAAAAGTGTAAACAGCTGACATTCAGAGCAGAGAAATGAAAAGCCCTGATAGCAGTGTACACGTATTATAGCTTCCTTACAAGTGTCAGTTTATCAAAAAATAATTGTTGAACACACACTATATGCAATTATTTTTACTGAGGGATGTAAAGATACAATGTACATGTCTGGGTTATTGACCTCAATGATAATGAAGTTGGGGGGTGTATATTTAATCAGTCCACCTTCAAACTGAGAAGGCACTGAGCCCTCTTTCCGCTCTTCTGATGTTGACAGTGTATAAGATATCCAGATGATGCCACTGGCCCTGATGACAGGAAGAACATTTGTAAATGATTCTTATTGTGGAAAACTAAGTACATAATTCAGGTTCACTCAGTCATCTTCCATACAACACTAGTTCTAGTACCTGTTCTGTGGGGGGAAAAGTGTAATATTTCACAGACAAATGAGTTTGTAAAATGCTGCAAACTATATACTTAGATTTATAGCCCGATATTAAATATTCTGAGAAGTCTTATGAGAAAAATGACAATTTAACTTTCTTAAACTGAGTGTTAACTCTACTTCTGTTGAAAGTCAACTATTTCTTTTTTCTATCTACATGTAACAACTATCAACCAAAGTGTCACTCAACAATGACAGAAATCTTGGGAAACCCAAATGTAAATATTTGGGGGCACCTGGGTGGCTCAGTCAGTTAAGCCCCCCCTTCAGCTCAGGTCATTATCTCACAGTTCATGAGTTTGAGCCCCACATTGGGCTCACTGCTGACAGTATGGAGCCTGCTTTGGATCCTCTGTCTCCCTTTCTCTCTGCCCTCCCACTGATCATGTTTTCTCTCTCAAAAATTATAAATAAACATTTAAAGTATGTATATGTATATGTATATGTATATGTATATGTATATGTATATGTATATGTATATATACATACTGGGGCGCCTGGGTGGCTCAGTTGATTGAGTGTCCGACTCTTGATTTTGGCTTAGGTTATCATCCCAGGGTTGTAGAATTGAGCCCTGTGTTGAGATTCTCTTTCTTCCTCTCTCAGCCCCTCCACTACATTCTCATTCTCTCTCTCTCTCTCTCCCTCTCTCCCTGTCTCTCAAAAATATGTATATGTGTGTGATGGTATGTGTATTTGTCTATGTGAATTATATTATATATAAATATAGATACATTTGCATAGTGATGAATTTATAAATATCACCCCTTTGCTTATATTTTTGGAAGGAGGGACTATTAGAAACCTCTATGCCAAGAGGTTTTCTTTTATAGAAATATTAGTGTTTTAATATATTCATGAACAAAGTAACAGAAAATATTTAAGTTTTGAGATGACAATGAGCTACAAAAGGTAAAAATAAATGCCCACACTCTTCACGTGATCAACTTACCCTTGGAACCAATTTCTGTGGATGAACTTGAGTCATTAGCATGCCTTACTGAAATAAAAAAAAAAATGAAAGAAAAAACTCACAAACACAATGGTAGATGCGGATATCAATAATGAATGAAAAGCCACAGTTTTGTCTAAGAAAAATTACAAAGTGAGATATAACCATGCTTCACTATAACATCATCTTTGGGGATATATTTGCAAAAAATTATGAGCTTAATCTTGAACTACCACAGAGGAGTCCAAGGTCGAGAGGACACAATTACAGCTCTATTACAGAGAACTGCGGCTGCCAAAAGCGACGCTGTAGTGAAGACCTGGCAAAGTGTATCTACACATGACAATGAAAAAAAAACCATGAACCAAATTAGACAATGGAATGGTAATGCCAACTTCCGACTCTCCCAGAGCCAATTATGCAGTTAGTGAACTGTCAGGGATTATCTCTGTCCTTTGAATCTTATGGTTCTTTCTCCCACTAATGACTTTTTCCCATTTGGGAACCCAGAATGGCATCTGCAGAATCAAGCAGGGAAGAGAAGCAATTCAAATAACTTCGCCAATTTGGGAAGAACAACAAAGCCCGATGTGATAAAAATTATAATATTCATTCCTCTTATTTTTAACTCTCCTTTTTTTCCTACAATTTCAGCCTGCTAGTTACTCAAGATCACGATGCCTCAAAGCCTGAGACTTGCATCAGAGACCTTAGAATGTCATTGTGTATTTCACCCACTGCAAATGACCAGATCCTGCAGACCTCAAATGAAATATACTTGTACTGTGAATTGAGACTTGATTTTCTGGCTCTGAGAGATGAGCTGCTGTAGATCTGCAGCTGCAGATGTGTCTTTCATCTGGATGGAGTCTCTGGAGTTGAACTAAACAATGGCGAAAATATCAACTCAGCTTTCACCGGTTTCAGCCAGAATGAAATTACAGGCACATTTGTATTCAGCATTCACGATGGAACGATAAATTATTTGGACTTACAACTGTTCACTGTTAGTTTCATTGGCATTTTCTGCACAATAGTCCTCAATCTTGGGAATGCGGCAAAGCAACAGTAATCATTTCGACTGTCTTTTTCTTCCACATTTGCAAAGTACAGATCTCCCTTTTGACTCATGTATACTCTTTCATCCTGTTTGATGTGTTCTAATTCTGGAAAGAAACATCTTGTTGTTAACAGGGGCAACTGTCCTTTATTGTGCTTCACTCCCCTTCTTTATTTTCCTTTCCTTCATATCATTTCATTTCATTTCGTTGCTCATGCTTGCTCTTCCTATTCCTTACAAGTCTGGTCTTAAAGCAAGAGCAATGAGTGAGAAGTAAAAAGTAAGTGAAAACAAAAACAAAAAATGACAACATATTCCCCGGGAGCATGCTTTCCACCATCAACCGAAGAAACTCACTGGTGGACGACCATTCTGGACAGTCTACCACTCCTTACCGTCTAGGCTGCTACTTCTCTACTGGCTTATCTGCAAACTGGTCCAATTGGTCCAATCAAACAGATCTCCCCAAAACTTGTGTGTAAGGTATGAATCTGTCTTTCCTGGATGCAGCCTGGAAACTTCTAGAGTGATGGGAGTCTGAAATGTTTGGCTGCAGCCAAAAATAGTTTGTTTCGCTTTCTTCCAAGTACTGTACAAATATCATTTTTCTCTATGCACCACAGTGTGAAAACATTTAGGGCACAATGTGAAGGCACACGCCAAAGAACTTTGAAAGAAGCTGGAGTTTCAACATGAGAGTTAATACAATATTTTTGGCGGATTAAACACAAAGGTTCATACTAATTTCTCTGTGGGTCACTCTATGTAGCAGGTAGAACATTATTACATAGAAATATAAGGCTAGCAACACAGATCCAAGCCATTCTCAACTTTGACATGGATTACATCCCAAAGATAAGTAATTTGTTTGGAATGTAGACAGCATTTTCTTCATAGACATACATTACCATATCAATAGCCTCTACTCTTTCAGATATGATAAAATCAAGACATACAGCTAAGAGTTTTCTAGTGTTTTTATGTATATCCTTAATAGAATATTTAAAACTTGGAACACACTCTACAGATGGATATAATTTTCTTAAAAACGATTTCATTCCACATTGATAATGTGCTTTTTTTTCTTTTTTCCACATTGATGATCTTATATTATTTTAAAATATTTCTTCTACTATCATATCTGACATGATGCATGAAATTAACAGGTCTCCTAAGGATGGAACAGAATGGTACTTACCAATATTCATCCAATAAATGTGTAAAGGTGGAAGGCCTTTGGGAGGGTTGCACGGGAGGACAATTGGATCTCCCTCCTCCACTTCAATAGGGTCAATTTTTTCTTTTGGGAATTTTGGAACATCTAGTTTAAAAAACATTTAAGACAGTATTTTAAAATTAACTTTGAATGTTACATGCAATAATATATTAACAGCTTCTTTTTAAAAAATAGAGCATGTTCAACAAATTCAGTGTCCCAGATCTTGGTTCTCATATCTCCCCTGAAGAAGAAAGTATTGTTAACAATCTTACAGAACTTTAAAATTGCTTCTACATTTTGCAAGTGAAGACAACAAATAATTTTTTTGCTATGTGACATCAACTGGCAACAATATACTTGTGCTTATTTCTCTGCACTGAGGTACAAGTTCTGCATCATAGGATTCACTGAGTTAAGATCTGACAGATAAGGTATTTTTTTTTTTTTTATTTAAACAGTGTGATTTATTTTCTAGGCAGATACATATTTTCTCTCTCTGGCTTTATTGTGAAGCCCTTGAATGTAATGGGCAAATATTCCATTCAAAGCATAAACAAACTAAGTTAAAAATTTGAAACCCATGTGGGGCAAATGATATGAATACAAAAAGCCAAACATGACCATTTTAAGTGGCTAAGAGAATCTTCCACATTGGAATCACTCCCAGAAAATAAAAAATTTAAATGGAATTTAAATGGAATTGGAAATGGAATTGATGTAGGAAAGGAGACTTTGAAATATTATAACATTTTGGTTTTTTCCCCCCATGCAGGAGGCAGTTTCCTGCGAGGGCAATACAATTATAATGGGAATAGAAGTCACAACTATGCAGAATTTGAAATGTTTGATTATTTTTATGAAATTATTTATAAAATAGTTTTCAGAACATTTAAAATGTATTCTGCCTGAACACTATGTTGATACCTTAAGATTTTATTAGGGGGCTTTGAATGATAGAACTAATCAAGCTTTTATGGAAGGAAAGGACTTTACGAAGGATTTATAATATTGCTGGCTTGATGGAATTTGTTAGGGGTTGTTTCATCTCTATATTTCATTCTTAAATGGGGGCTCACAAAAGATAATCATTATTCTTGGAAGTCTAGAGATATACTCATTTACTGTAACATTTCTTCTTGAGAAGCTTTGTGCATTTTCTGTGTATTTATTCCCTTGACCCTCAACCCCGACCCCAACTCCTTAGTGGCTGAAGGAATTTGCTGACATTTCTCTTATTGGTGCACCAGCTGGTTACACTGAATTGCTTTTTGTCTAAATTCAAGGACCCTTCATGGCTCAGCACTGCAGGGCAGTAGATTATATACAGTGTCTGTGCCAGCTTGGAAGCCGGCTTGGGTCATGTGACTGTCCTCAGTCAATTCCTCTTGGTCAACCATTGTGGCGGATTTCTCCCAGCAAGGCTGGAAACGTATCTGAAATGGCAACTATCCTGGCATCGTGCTTTGGAACTAGCTAGCATGAATTTTCCACCAAAAGAGAGGAAAGCATGTTTAGGACATTCACTATGGTACAATCTTATAGATAAAATATCAATGCCATCTATTTGGTAATGCTTTAGCTTTGACTGAGAACTAACGCTAGACAAGTCATTTTGTAGAAAGTATACACCTTATGCAAATAATATGTAGCCACTTACAAAACTATTAGGTGCTCAAAGCTCCAAATTCAAATCACTTATTTAGTGTCACTTGCAATAACTGAAGCCCCATGTTCATTGGTACTGAAGTTAACAGTGCCTTTAGATATCTACTGAATCTGTTTATACTCAGATAGAAGGGGCAATAGAGGAAGGGGAACACAGATTAGCAAATGGAAAGTGCCTGCAATCCTGTTTTATAACAAGCAAACTTTACAACGCCTTACAGGAATACACAGTTTTCTGGGTAATAGCCATTGTAAAGCAGCTAATTAATAAGATATATAAAGCCCTAATTAGGGAGCTGCCCCCTCAGAGTATTCAGAAAAATCTAATGATTCAAACAGATAGTACTGCCAGTGAAGCACTATCAGCCATGCATTAATTAAATCTAGATTATAAAATTCTAATTCCAAAGATGTACATATGTAATTCAACTGGCTTCCAAGGCATCAATAATAAAAATAAAGTAATATTTTAAGTCTATCAAAACCTTTAGCACATACCATAAATCTTTGGAAGAGCTTTTGACCAAAGATGAAATTAATATCAGGAAAAAGTGAAGAACATTTATATATTTAATAATTTAAGGTCTGAGAATAGATTTTATAAAGACATTAATTTGTCAGTATTTTTTTTATGGTCCTCTTCTTTGACTTTGAAACTATTTAGTAAGTTTGATTCCATGCTAGAAAGTGAACATTTTAATGGCCACACATAAATGTGGAATTTAATTACTATAACTCAACAGCAGGCATGAAGCTTATCTTAATTCAAATAAAGAAATGACTTGACTCCATTTAAAAATAACTTCAACCAATGACTTTTGCTAATTGTGTTTCTCTGGTGATAAACATGAGCATTGTTGAGTTTGGACAGATGCAATACTTTTTAAAGTGAATTGTAAACAATTATTTTTCTTTTGTGTAAGGCAACTTCATTGCTTTAGCTTGCCAACATATTTTAAATGACTGTTCCATCAACAGCAAAAACACAGCCACTTAATTATGTTGCAATAACACTGGACTTAACCATGGAATGGCCTCTCTGCAAAGGAAGCAGAATCTACTTGTATATTAGTGTCTATTTAAGCAGAAGTTTAAGAATGTTTGGAAATCCCATAATAACCCAAGTCTACATGAAGCCAATTTCCTTTATATATAATGTCCCTACCAGTCTATCTGCATTAGGAAATCAAGCATTTGACAGCGCCCATCTATTTTACTACTCTCCAATAAGCTTGCAGTTACAATTCAGTGTTCCGGACAAATTGCTAGTAACAACTCCAATGGTACAGTTTCCCGAAAACCCAGTCAGAATCTAGCAGGAAAACGCTTTTCTAGAAACTAGTTAGCTGGACAGCAAGCAGTCTTCTTACTGAAACTATCAATATAAAGCAAACTAGCAAATACAAAATTTCTAAAACCTCTGCAAGCTGAGATGCTGACCATCAGTTTTGAAACTCACCATTTCAATTCATTCAACCTGTGATACTGAAAAAATAACATCTTTGCACTTGAAATGCAGATGACTTCTAAAAAATATTTTGTATTTAGAGAAAAGTGTAAACTGGTTTCTGGCCCAAGCACTATAACAAACTGGCTATGTAGCTTCAGACCAGTAATTTTACCCTTTTGTGCCCCCTTTTACTTTTCTCTGGGATCCTAGAGTCCTTTGAATTCATTTCTCTAGGCTCCTTGAAAGACACACGGGGTTAGAAGTTTCTTAAGGGCAAGGCTATTATAAAATCTAAGCTGTATAGTCTCACCATGCCAATATGCTTAATGATAAAGAGTAGTAATGAAATAGCCCAAGGATAGTTTAAATTATTACAAACCATACTAACTAAACCACTTAAATGAAAGTGATTAAGGTGACTTTACCACTATCAAATTATGTAACTGCAGACAATCTCTGGCACACAAGTAATCACATCAAGTCTTCTTACACTATCTCTCTGAGTCTCATACTCTGCTGCCAAGGTATTTCCAACAAAAAAGTACAACACTTTTCAGCTCATCTACAAGATGTGTCACCTGAATGATCAAAGCATAGGCAACACTGTATAGGATTGGGGTTACACACATGAACTCTGGGGCCAGCTGCCTGGGGCTGAATCCCAGCTTCATTGCTTACTTTGTGATCGGAACCTGTTACTTCAGTTTCCTCATTCAAACTGTAAAGACACCCAATTCACTGATTTGTGCCAAAGTTTAAATAAACCATTTCATATAAATCAATTAAATAGCATGGGGCACTTAAAAATTATTCAACACATGTTGGCTATTATTCAAGTAATTTTACTTTGCATGGTTCACCCAGCTCCTTTGTAGAGAGATGAGATGGGCAAAGGGACATACAGCTTTCTTCTGCTGTGTCTTCTGATTTTCTCTGTAGCCTACATTTTAACAACTTCTGTAATTCTATGCAAATATTTGGAATTAGTTTTTACAGAGGAGGCAGAGAGGGAACCAGTATGTATTTCATGTAGAACCTATGATTTAGTGATACTCCTCCCTGTAACTGGGCAACCCTTCCTATGCCATAAAATTTTGTCTATTTTTAAAAAATGTTTATTTGTTATTTTTGAGAGAGACAGTGCACAAGCAGGGGAGGGGCAGAGAGAGAGACACACACAGAATCCCAAGCAGGCTCCAGGCTCTGAGCTGTCAGCACCCAGAGCCCAACATGGGGCTCAAACTCATGAACCATGAGATTATGACCTGAGCTGAAGTCAGATGCTTAACTGCCTGAGCCACCCAGGCACCCCAAAATTGTCTGTTTTTAACCTTTCTTTCTTTCTCTCTCTCTCTCTCTCTCTCTCTCTCTCTTTCTTTAGAGAGACACAGAGAGACCGAGAGAGAGGTATGGGTGGAGAAGAGATGGAGGGAGAGAATCCCAAGCACGCTCTGTGCTGTCACCACCGTGAGATCATGACCTGAGCTGAAATCAAGAGTCAGATGCTTAACCAACTGAGCCACCCAGATGCCCCATAGAACTTTATCTATTTTGACTTATCTCTTTGTTTACAGGACTGGACTGGTGAGTTTTTGAGTGCCTTACATTTCTATTCAATGGGTTTGCCAAATTGGTACAGTCTGACATCATTATGAAGAATTCATCACACTGGGCTCGCATGCTATATCATCCCTAAGTCTAGTTTCCATTTGCAAAGAAATTTAATTGATTCCTATTTCCTGTTGAGTACCCCATTAATCCATTTAGAGCTACGGAGAATTCACATTGCCTTTCAGTCTATGAGCTCATAATGAATTCATGCTAAGGAAGAACACCCAATCCAGCCCATGTCATTCCAGTCATTTGCACGACATGACAGATGAGAGGAAAATCCTCGGTCTTAATTAAGCCTGTAAAACTCAAAGTTGCACTCTCAACAAATTGATCTTCTTTAGTTGGTTTGCATATACCAGGAAAAGAAATTAGC